CTCAGGAGGCCCCTGCACACCTGTGCACGCATCTACCTCAGGAGGCCCCTGCACACCTGTGCACTCATCTATCTCAGGAGGCCCCCTGTATGCACAGGTGCACATCTGTCTCTGCAGCACCCATGGTTCTTAGCAGCTGACCAGAGGGTGAGACCAAGGGGAGGTTGAGGCCCAGTCTTAGTAGCCCAGGTGACTTGTTGGGGCCTCTAACAGTGGCCACTGGCTCCTCCCACCTTGGCATGGGCTTGGCCCCACTGTGGTGCCTCTCCTGGTTCCTGCTGGGCGAAGTGCCCAGGAAGGCCCGGCCGCTACAGAGCCGCCCTTCACCTTCCTCCACTGCCCTGACCCTGTGAGGCTGCAGGGCTTACTGACTGGGACCTTGGGCCTCACAGTGCACACATGTTGGCCCCGAAGGTACAGTCCCCTGTGCCACCACTGCAGGGCTTGCTCCCCACGTGATGCCAGCTTCTTCTTGGACCTTGGAGCTTAAAACCCAGGACACAGATGTCACTGTGGTTATCACCTCTCCAGGTGAGTGATGGTGCCAGGCACAGGGGCCTCCTCTGGCACAGGGCATGCATCCACTGGGTGGGGTCACCTCCAAGGCTCCCAGCATCCGCTGGTGGACCTGGGGTCCCTCAGCCCAGGCCAGGCCACCACAGAATCCTCCTTTGTCTTCTTAGTTGAAATAAAGGCTTCAATTAAAAATGTCAGAGAGTGTAGAGGTGCAGGGGAGAGCCCTGCAGAGCCCTGTCCCAGGCCCATTGCTAACTCTGACCCCTCGTACCCATGCTGTATGTGAACTTGGCCTGTCTTCCTCATGTCCTCTTCTGCCCGGGACACCACCTGGGCAGTGCATCACACTGGCCCTGTGTCTCCTCCTCACACCTCTCGGCAGTGACAGGGTTTCCTTGGTGCTGCTGCTGATGGTGACAGTGCCTCTGGCCAGGGAATCACCCATGTGACACTTTCCCTTGAGAGACATCAGGCTGTGGGCCAGGGAGTGAGACCATAGCAGTGACATCCCCTCTTGTTCCCATGGCAACAAGGGCACCAGCTGGTGGAGACACTAGGCTGGGGACAGTGACTGTTGTTGTCTCCCCCACTCTGCTCCTCTGTTGCAGTCTGTCCCGTCTGGGAGGAAGCCACACGTGTGGGGCGGGAGTCAGGCCGCCCCTCGGTGGCACTGCCACACACCAAGTCCCCTGCGCAGACCCTTGTCTGTGTCCCCATCCTCCTTTGTTCAGTCCAGGCTTCCTTTCCTGTGGTCTGGGCTCACGGACACCACGTCGCTCAGCTGACACCCAAGGAGCTGGCGTTCACTTCATTGCTCCACGTCCTTGGTGCTCAGTGGCTTTTTGTGGCCTTTCTTAAGGTAACAGCAAAGCAAGCCAGGCTTGTGCGACGGTGGCTGAGCCTTGCGCAGGTCTGTGTACAGGGCTACAGCTGCCACTTCCTGCCCGCGTCACCACCCACAACTGAAGGCCAGGGCCAAGGGTTACAGAAAGGAGGGACAACAGGGGAGGGGATACTTAGAGGCAGAGAGGAAGCTGGACCTGAGGCACCGGGCCGCTTCATCCCTCCCGTCCTGGGCACATGGTGCGGTGACAGCTCACCCATCAGTAAGCAGGGGCTGCCCACACGAGTACCCGCAGAGGTGCTGGGGCCCTGTGCCACCTCATGCTCGCCTGTCCCTGGTGCCTGCTTCCTGGCAGGTGAGAGGTCAGCGTTAAAGCTCCCAAGTCCCAGGGACTGAGATTCAGACTAAAGTGAAAGTGACTGCTACGGGCGCTCTACTGAATATGGGCATCAGTGGGAGGCAGGCAGTACCCACATCCCACCCAGAGCAGACCTCAGGGCAGTGCCGCCCACGCAGGCTGCACTGGTGCAGCAGCCTGGGCCAGGAGGGGCCCTCTGCAAACTCTTCTTGCAGGGCTGAGGAAGCAAGTGGCTGGTGCCAACTGGGGTGACTGTGTGGCTCCCGCTTCGGGTCTGGGTTTGTACATGGGCCCTTGCTGTGCCTGCCCTCACAGAGCTCTTTCAGCCAGCACCAGCTTCCCTTGTGTCTCCCCCATGGCCCACAAGCGACACATGGCACGGGCAGTGTCTCCTGCTCCGGGGATGCCCCATGAAGGGCTTTGCTGCTTCTACAGGGAGTGCATGCCACCCAGAGACCAGAGCTGCAGGGCCACCATGAAGGGCGAGATGGCAGGACCATGCCCAGGGTCGTCTCCAGGGATATGTAGGTGCAGCAAGGATGGAACACGCTGGAGAGAGGACCTGTCAGGTGACCTTCAGCGGCAGGAGCATCCAGTTGTTCCCCAGGACAGGAGCCCAGGGCTGTGCTAGCCTGCAGTGCAGGGGACAGGGAGTTAACAGCCACGTCACAGCTGTGGCCTCTGATGCCAAGATTCCTTCTGTGGTGTCTTTAACCGTGAGGTGGCATAACAGAGCACTCCATGGTGGGCCTTCAACAGCACCTGTGTCCAGGCCAGTCTGGGGGCTGAAGTGGCATCCAGAGGTTGCAGGGTGTGCGTCCCCATGGGGCCTCTTCCTGTCCTCCTGGCCTGCTGGGGACCTCTCACAGGGCCTATGTGAGAGCTGTGTGGGCCGCTTGCTCTTCTTATGTGGTTCTTGGTCGGCTTCTTAGCACTGTGACAAGGCACCTGCTAAGGCCCACTGTAAGGGAGGGCGGTGTTGGGGCTCAAGGCTCCAGAGGTCTTGGTCCATGGTTAGCCCGCTCATCTTAGGCTGGGCGAGGTGCAAACAGCACAGCGGAAGGGAGTGACAGCAGGAAGCACAGGGTGAGAGCCCCAGAGGGGAGGGCCTGGGACAGCCAAGCCTCCCAGGCCACATGCCAAGGCCTGCCCTCACCAGGCCCCACCTCCTGCTGCCGCGTCTTTCCTCAGGGTGCCTGGTACTAATGAAGTCACAGGCCTTGCGATCCTGCCACCTCTGCAGCCCACCAGCAACCGGGCTGTCAACACCATGAGCTTCTCTGGGGGACACCTGGGGTCTTGACCCTAACTCGAGGCCTTCAGTCTGGGCACAGGCCCCGCCTATGACTGCATCTACTTCCCTGAGGTCCCTGCTCGAGGACACCTTCCTCAAGTCCTTTCTCGAAACATAGTCCCAGGAGATCAGGGCTTTCACACTGGGCTGGATGCGGTCCTGGACACAGAGGAACACACGAGGCTGGGTGTCCTGTGTCCACGTGTCTGCCCAGGAAAGTGGGTGTCAGGCAGGTTTGTGTCCTAGCCACGCCCAGGCACTGGAGCCACACAAAGTGAGGCCTGGCCATGCCAACAGGAGCCCAGGCTATGGACATCACAGCAGGGCCACGCAGGCAGGATGGCGGGGTCCTGGGGAGGCACTCTCATCCTCACCTCTACCCTGTGCCCTCTGCCTGCGACTCTGTGGGGTGGACACCAGTGTTTCCTTCCAGGAACACATACACAGCAACGATAACAGACCAGACGCACATGACACACACAGCAAGGGACACGGCATGAGACAGAGGCCCAGGGAAGCCATGCGCGACACGGGACAGGCACCCCCCACCCACAGCTCGGCGCCTTACCTCGGAAGTAGGGGATGTAATGATGTCGGAACACGGAGGTAGGGCTTGGGTGTTGGGACAGGGAGAGCCAGCTACTGGTACCGACGCTTGCAGTACCAGCTGCGGGCAAGAGAGCAGGTCAGTCAGCCCGGCTCACCCTCCAGCACAAAGCCCCCAAATCTTCCTAGCCCCCTCCACTAGGAACATTTGGGCCTCCTCTCTCCAGATATGCACATCTGTTTGGGGCACCCAAAGGGAATGCCCTAGGAGGCTCTGGACCAGGCCCTGCAGGTGCAGGGCGACCCCCCTCAGGAGAACCAGGAGGCTGGCCTAGGGCTGCCAGGCCTTGGTGCTTCACAATGGGGGTCTCCTTGGGGTCAAGACCCCAGCAGCATGTCTGTTTCTGACATCCTCATGGGCCACACCAGCCAAAGCATGGTCCTGGTCTCTGGGGCTTAGTGCTGGACCCAGAAGTCAGCAAGGTGGGCCTTCTTGTGACCTGGGGGCCGGGGCAGGCAGCAGAGGGGCCTTGGGAGAAGGGGTCTGGGGAGTCAGCCACTGCTGTCCACTCACTGACTCACCTGCACATCCGCTTACACACTCATTTGCTCACTCACTCATTTGCTCACTCATTCAGTCCCCCATTTGTTCATTCATTCACCCATTCACTCATGCATTCATTCACTCATTCATTCACTCACCATTCACTCATTCACTCACCATTCACCATTCACTCACCATTCACCATTCACTCATTCACTCACCATTCACCATTCACTCACCATTCACTCATTCACTCACCATTCACCATTCACTCACCAGTCACCATTCCCTCATTCACTCACCATTCACTCATTCCCTCATTCACTCATTCATTCACCCCTTCATTTGCCCACCCATTCATTCATCCATTCATTCATCACACCCATTCATTAATTCACTCATTCTGTCACACGCTCATATGTGCACGCATTCATCCACTCGCCCACTCATTCACCCACTCTCTTAATCCTTACTGAGCAAGATGCACCACATGTGTTGCAAGGAGTCAGTGAAGTGACTTTGCAAATGAATGGGTTTGAGTTTTCCACAATTTGTGAAAATGAGAGCTGTAGCCCACAGATGTGAATGGGTCATGCACTGGCCAGGAAGGAAGCCGCCTCGAGAAGTCACTGAGGAGGGGGTGCCCACAGGCACCATCCCTGAGACTCTGACAGGCCCGGGGCAGAGCTTCACAGCTGTGGGGGAAGGGAGTGCACAGCAGCAGGCAGGAGTAGGTGACACAGGTGGGGGGACCATCTGCAGGCTCCCAGCAGGCGAGTCTGGCAGGGAGGGCTGTGTGTAGGTGAGGTCATATAGACACTGGGGGGTCCACTTTGGAGCTACTGGTTTCTCCTCTGTAGCCCGTATCTGCCCTGGGACGGCTGCTGTCTGGCCTCCTACATCTGTGCTTTGTGTTCCTGACATCTCCAGCACCTAACACACGGGCTCAGCACTGAGGGATCACGGGGCGCCTGCAAAGAGGCACCTCCCAGGGTGTGCAGGTCCTCCAGCCCACAGGACAGCTTAGCTTTGGTAGCTTTTCTCCTGCACCTTGCTGGCAGGAAGGCTCGCTGTCGCCCCAGTGGCAAGCCCACCCCACCATATTTCTGGTAATACTTGGAGGCCACTGAAGAGCTGAGCAAGAAGTCCAGTTCCGCCCAGGGCCCAAGGATCCAGAGGTCTCAGTACCTGCACGGCTGTAGTGCTGGGGTGACCGCGAGGTCGGGGTGTAGCGCCCGAGGCTGACAGAACCGGCGGAGCTGGGGCTGGAGGTCCGGCACTGCTTGTAGGACCGGTCATCCTGATCCCCCTGGGAGGGAAGACACTGCTGGTGAAGACCGGCCTCTGGGGCACTGCCCACCCTCTCCACAGCATCAGTGCCCACCCCTGGCTCCAGTGAGGGATTCAACCTGACCCGAACATGGACTCTGCACCTGAGAAGCCAGGTGGGCTGGAGGCGGTGCTGATTGAGGCCCCTGTGCCCACTGGCACCCACCGCTCACCCTGCTACCAGAAATGCGGTCTGGGACTTTGCAGGAGGAGGGTGAGTTGGCCCTCCCCCCGCGCAGCCCTCCTTGTCTCCCAGGGCTCCTCAGAACAGTCTTAGAACCACTGAGATGTCCCACTCCAGGGTGGGCAGAAGGTGCCCCTCCTGGGTCGAGAGGCCCAGAGGAAGGAGCCCTGCAAGCACATACAGCACAGCCCCGTTTGAGCAGGAGGGGGGCTGCAGGGAACAATCATGGCAGTGGCGTGAGAGGGCACTTGGTGCTGGGCTGCAGGCTGGCTGGCCTTCCGCAGTGTGGCATGGTGGCCTAGGTCATGCCAGCCTAACCTGGCATACCATGGGGGGCTGCTGCTTTGCCCCTTACTGATCTGGCCCTTACTCCTGCCCAGTCCATCTACACTGACCTACAATAGGAGGCTTCCAGGCCCACAGCCTGCCATGACCCCCACATACCTCCTCAGGGACCCTCCCCTCTTATCCTCTCTAAGGCATCTGGCTGCCCCACCCTGGCCTCAGCATCTGTCCCTGGCTGTCCCTCTCCACCCTGGGTACCATCTAGATAGCCCCCCCCCCACCTTATAGGTGTCCTGTCTGCCAGCCTGGACTCAGGGCCACCGGCTGGCTGGAACTGAGAAGCAGGGTCTGAGCGGACCACCTGCCCACTTGCTTGGCTGCCTGGGTCCCAGGGTGATCTAGGCAAGGCCAGCCTTTCCTGGCCGCTGGGCAGTAGCAGAGGTGCCCAGCCCTTCTGAGCTCCTGGGGCTGTTTCGGAGGGGACGAGAGAGGTTCTGAGGGGCATTCTGGTTCTCCAAAGCTGTAAGAAGCAAGAGGAGAGCCCTGGCCTCAGAGGTGAGGAGAATCACCCTTCTAGAACCACTGAAGGTTGGGCTGGGACACCCTAGGATTGGGGAGCCAAGGGGGGCCCCGCCATGGCGGCCAAGATGCTGCGCAGTAGTGACAACCTTGGGCTGTGCAGTTCCCACTGAGTGCTGCTTGTGGTCTCAGCCTGAAAGGGGCTTTGTGATGAGACTGGGCCTTGGGAAGACGCAGAGCTCTGAGTGCGGCTGACACCACAGCTAGAGGCCACTCAGCTCTGGTCTTTTGCAGAGTGCCCATGGTGTTACCAGCAAGCTCCTTGGACAGTGGATCTGGAGCGAGGTGCCAGGGAACCCTCCTATGTCTCTTCCTATAGCTTGTGATCCTGGGCAAGTTATTTGGCTCCCTGTGCCTCAGTTTCCCCACTGGTGACTGAGGCAGATTGCAGAAGTCCCTCTGGGGCGCAGAGTGCAGGGCTCTGTTGACCCTGTCCTCACTCCTGTGACATCTCTGGGCTCTGGCCACCCAAGACCCACTTGCAGTCACCCATCCTGCTGATGAGTGTGGCTAAGAGGGCCACTCGGCAGACACATCCAGGGCGCTGTTCTCACGGGCCCAAGTGCCACCTGCAAGTCCACTGTGGGGCCCCAAGTGGACCTGCACTAACCCGGGGACGCCACAACCCTGACCACCACCTGTGCCCCTGGCCCTCACATCTGTGATGGCAGGCAGACCAGAGGACATGCAGACGAGACACGACTACAAAAATAACCAACGTGAGGAAGGTGCCACAGCCCCGGTGTGCTGGGACCAAGGCCCTTCCCGGTGCTGGTCATCTTTACAGAGGGGCAGCACAGCGCCATGCATGGGCGGGGCAAGCATGCAGCAGGCGGGGTTACCTCAGTCGGCGTTGGCGAGAGCAACTGAGGCGACTGTGGACACAACACAGAGCGGCCCGTTAGTGCCGTGGCACCAGGCCAGTACAGGGACGCAGGGGTCATCTAGGGACTAGCAGGCCACACGGGGCCAACTTTCTCCTGACAGCCCTGAGACCCAGATAGGGGACCCCACATGAGGAGGGGCACAGACCAGGCTGCAGGCTGGACATGGACTCATGGTAAGGGTGCCTGGGAAAGGCAGCCCTGGGCAGTGTCCCCGCCTGCCACAGCCATGGAGCCCAATTTCCTAAGACATCCATTGGCAGTCAGGTCACAGTGCGGCCCATCAGGAGCCCCTCAACCCTCAACACTCAGGACAGCAGAAAGACGGTGGGAGCCTCGGGCTGGGGTGGACCCTGGCAGACTTCCCAGCAGGCTTCGGCCACAGGGACAGCAGAGCAATGCCTGCCACCCAGAGCTGTGGTCTTGGCTCAGCACAGGGCTGGGGGACAGACGGGGCCTAGAAGCCAGTGCCACCTGGGCCGAGCAAGTGCTGGGCGAGAGGACGCTGGTCTCCATGCAGCCAGGGGAGACTCTCCACTCATGGCAGCGTCCAGGAGGCCTCAGGAGACCTCCCCAAGAGGCAGAACCAATCCCTCCTATCCCAGGCAGCCAGAAAGAAGAGCAAATCCTTGAATAAGAAGCCTCCACATGACAAAGGGCACTGTCCACAGGAACACTGGGAGGTGGTGATCTGTGGCCCAGCCAGGCTGGTGAAGTAGCTCATCACAGAGAGGGCTGTGGGCTAGGGACAGCGGTGCGTCCCACGCACGTGAAGGAGGCACGCAAGGCTCCCAGCCCTTTCCCTGCAGCTGGCGCGGCCCTGACTTCCTGCTCAGCACACAGCTCCTCCAGGCCCCTCCCGGGCCGGGACAAGGCTGCGGGCAGACGCTCTGAGTTAGGTACTTAAGGGTGACAGGTCGTCTGCGCAACAGCGAAGCGTGGGGAGCCGTGGGGCTTGCCAGGGCCACACCGCAGGACAGCCTGCAAGCATGGGCACCCCATGGGGCAGGGCATACCTCGCCGTAGCTCTGCCTGTCCCCTGAAGAGTGGCTGACGTAGGGTGAGTAGGAGATCATGTCTGGGCGGTCGATGTTGTAGATCGCCTTGCTTTTGGGGAGTGCTGCCAAGTCCCTGTAGTCCAGGATCTCATCGCCGAGCTTGGCCTGAGAATAAATAGCAGAGGGAGGAGGTGGGCCGGGTCCGAGGGCAGCAGCTGCTCCCTGCGAGGAGTGAGGGGCATGGCTGGCACTGTGGGGCTGCAGCGCATCAGCCATCAGCACCAGGGGGCAGGACTAGGTGGGCAGAGCTCCAGCACGCAGGCCAAGCCAGCCACATGGGCCAACCCATCCGCCAGCCACCAGGCCACGCGGCCTCGAGCTCAGGCCTGCTCCAGCCTCCCTCAGTTTCCTTCCTGACATGGTGGAAAATCAGAGCACGGCCAACTCCAGGCCTGGCGGTGTGAGACTGTGACCTAAATGCACACACACATGCGCATAAGCACACACACGTGCACACACCCATGTACACCTGTGCATGTGTGCAAACATACAAATAAACTCAGTGCATGTATTCAACTCGTGGGCAGACACACAAATACACACGTGTGTATACATACACACACACTCACAGATACACCCACACAAGCAATACACAGAGGTCCACATAAGAAGTACACACATGTTCACAAATATCTGTGTTCTGTGCAGACCCAAAGAACATGCCTATATGCATGTACACATTCCAAAACACATTCATGGGTGTCTGCACACCTAAAATACAGATATGCATGAAACACACACACGGATGTACTTGCACACATGTGATATACACACATTATGCATCATGCAAATATGCACATAAACACTCAAGTGTACACATATGCATGGATGCAAACACGTGAACACTTGTGCACACATGTACACATGCCTGTGCATGCACACAGGTGCCACGGCACAGGTGGCCACACATGCACACACTTGTGCACACACGAATGTGCAACCATGCAGACACACTCATCATGCATGTGCAAGAACATGCACACTCACATACATGGATTATATGTGCATGTCTGTGTGTATGTTAGTGCCTGTGTGTGCATACACTTATGTACATACATACAAATACACAGTGCATGTCTTCACACTGCAAGGACATTTGTGAGCATGACCATACCTGTCTAGGATCATGGGAGGCACACACCACACTCCCACACACCTGTGCAGCCCACATTTGATATCTGTCCAATGCCCTGCCTGTGCACACTTAACACACTCGCTACTTGCACACTTATACTTGTGTGCACCTACAAACATAGTATTGCACTTAGTCCCCCCACTACCCTCACACACACTTGTACACACACACACTCGGCACATTTGTGCACTGTTAAGGTTGATGCACGTGTCAACTTGAGGAGCCCAGAAGCTTCTGTATCCCGGATGTAGAGGGCCTACCCTTTCTTCCAGGGTGCTGCTCACTGTGTCCACTTGGGAAGTTTAAAAGTTCCGCTAAGTGACAGCAGGGGGCCAGGGCCCAGAAGCACTGCTCCTCCCCCGTGGGGGCCTGCTTACAACACAGGGAGAAAGACAGGCTTGCTCCCCCTTTTTGTGCTCTTGCTGCTTTTTCTCTTCTGCGGCCTTACCCCAATGCCCCTGCACCGCGCTGCTACCTTGGAGCCAGCTGATTACACGCTGAACCTCCGCAAAGCCTGCCCTTCCTTCATTGTGAGCATTGAGTGTTTTGTCACAGAAACGAGAGAAAGGGAACCAAGACAGGCAATGAGAATACACAGCCAGGCACGTGGTCCAAGGCTCTGGGCGCTAGGGTGACAGGTGCCACACCAGGCCACCCAGGCCTGCTGACTGCATGTGTGAGCCGTAGCTTTGCTCAGGGAAGGCCCGTCTGGCTGGAGCCACTTCCTGCCCTGGTCCTGTCTGGCTCCTCCTCCTCCCCCACCCCTTTACGGGTGCACCTTTGTACCCCTTGGCCAGCATCAGGTAGCTCTGGGCTGGGCCCCTCCCCGTCTCTATCGCATGGAGATTCTGCAAGGCTGCCCCTCTGCAGGCCCAGCTCCAATCCGGTCCCCCAGGTAACCCTGCTCCAGGGCCCGGCACAGCCCTCTTGGTCCCTGTGTCTCCAGGGGCCAAAGGCATCCGCTTCCCACATCCACTGTGAGCCAGGCTCAGCCCCACTCTCAAAGTCCCGGGGGGCCAGCAGCCCCAGCTGCCTCCCCCAGGAAGCCTTCCCAGATCCCCAGGCCCACGTCAGAGCTCTCCGGAGCCCCAGCCCAGGGCAGCACGTGTCGCGCACGCTGACTGCAGGCCCGCGTCTCACGCTCACCAGGTCCTCTTGGTGCCCGAGGACCAATTCCAAGCCAGCGCTGGTGCCAGGGTGGGCAGGGTCCTGCAAGGGTCCCCGGCTGTTCCCTCTGTGCTCGAGGAGCCTGAGCCCAGGCCCGGGTCTGCTCCTGGCCTTCCTGACCCCACCGCTCACTCTGGCAGGGCGCCGGCTCTGCCCTCCTGGCCTCCCCTCCCCGCGCAGCCCGTCCCTTTCTGGGGGCGGCTGAGGCCCCTCCCCCACATTCCCTCCTTGCTTTCCCTCCCCTGTGGACCCAGGCTCTTTCTCTGTGAGCCGGGGTGGATCCCACCTACCACCCCCGTGTCTTCCTGGCTCCCTGGCCATGCTGATGGGGCCTGGGCCCCTGATTCCTCATCAAGCCCTTCTCTTGACCCTCAGCTTGATGCAGCGCTTGTGCTCAGGGGCACCCGTGACAGCAGTGGGAGAAGCTTGGGCATCTCCCATAGAAAGGGGGCACAAGGCTGAGGCTCGGCACCCACTTGGAAGTGCAACCCCCCCACACACACTTGCCTGCCTCCCACTGTCCTAGCCCAGCCCCTCCTTCCTGACCCCTCCCTGTCCCCCGGGTCTCCCTCCCAATGTGGCCCTTCCTGACCCTTCAGGGACCTGAACAGGTGGCCCAAGCAATGCTGGCCGCTAGAAGCTGCCCACCACAGCCCGCAGACAGGCTGTCAAGGCAGCCTTTCCATCCACTTCCTCGTGGGCCGGCCTTGGGTGGTTGCCAAGACAACAGTAGCTGGCTAGCTACAGTGTATACAATGCTTTATCTTTTTGCTTCTTTCTTTCTTGCACTTCCTGCAACAAAATAACCACCTGACCACTCTGGCTCCACAGCTGCAACCCGCACCAGCCTTTGCGCTGTCCACACTGCAGCTTAATGCCACAGAAAGAAGGTCACGAAGCACTGTGATCAGCACCACCTCGACCTGCTAGCAAATAAATCACATCTAGAGAAAGGGGATCCCTTGCTGAAGGAAGCTGATCCCAAGTTTGAACCCAACCTGGGCAAATTAATGTCTTAGCAAGACACTGTTGAGAAAGATTTTTGGTTTTTGGGGGGTGCTGGCTCAAGGCTGCCTTAAGGGCAGGTCTGGTAAGGTAGGTAGAGGTGGGGATCAAACTTCGGCATCCTGCGCCTGACTGCGTTTGCATGAACAGATGCTTAAACAACTGAGCTAACTGGCCGGCCACCTTAGCAAGACACTGTTGAAAACTAAAAAACCAGAAAAGGACTGGGAATGTTGCTTAGTGCAGAGCCCCGGCTTCAATCTCCAGGACTACAAAAACGTTTCTTAAAGCGCCCCAATTTATCGCGCCCCGGCCCTCGGCACTGGGCCACACGAGGGCTCCTCCAGGAACGCGCTTTGTGGTCCGGGCACAGGACACATGCACACGGGAGCCCCCTCTGACTGGGGCCAGCAGGAGCGCCTGTTGCTGAGAAGCAGTCGATGCGTTCTGCCGCCCCCGAGGCCCACACTCGGCAGCCCTGGTCGGCCTGGGCCACGCGCTCTGCAGGTCAGCTCCCCGCGGTGCCAGCCGCAGCGCTGGCCCTTCCGACTCAGCACACCGGGTCCGCCCGAGCTGCGTGAGGCCTCTGTTTCAAGCTGGCACCAGCGCACACCACGCTGAGACTCGGCGTCACCACCACCATGCCTGTTCTGGGGTCACTGTCCAGACCCAGCCCAGCTGAGTCCGCGGGGGCAGCCCAGGGCCCACACCAGGCTGCGCTAGCAGCTGCTCAGTGGAGACGAAAGCACCGGCCACGGCTTCTCTGCAGTGGGGGCCGTGGCGCCCCCACAGGGAGCCCAGGCACGGGGTCACAGAGGGCTGGCTCTGCTCAGCTGCTCTGCTGCTCGGCCCTGAGAGCAGGGTGGGGCCTGCGGAGGTGACTCTCTCTGCTCACGGTGTGGCCCTGTGGTCACCACAGTTCCCAGGCCCTGTGTGAAGGGGTGTTTGGTTTTCGTCATGTATTTGTTTAGTTACATCTCACGGCCTTTGCGCTGATCTATATTCCCAGATCTTTTGAATGCATTTCTTAAGAATTGTGCCAGATTAGCTAAACTGCTTATATGAGGCTGGAACTTACAGTCTCCTGCCTCAGCCTCTCAGGGCTGAGACTGCAGGTGTGGCTCCCACAGCTGGGCCTTGTCTCTACTGTGCTGTGTGTTCCCACTGACAGCAGCAGTGCCACCCCCAGAGGCCACCTGAGCCGGGCCCTGTGCCAGGCCTTTCACAGGTGCCACCTTATGTAATAAGGGCGACAGTGAATTCTCAGGGCAACCCCTAACCCCAGGGCCTCAGGAAGTGCCTGGTCTTGGAATTGGGCCTTTAAAGGGACAATGAAGGCAGAATGAGAGCCACGCAGCAGGTTCCATGGGCGTCCCTAGGAGACCAGGACACAGGCACCCAGGGTGACCATGTGAGGACACAGGGAGAGGCCATCATATATGAACCAGGACATCGCGCTTGGGCAAGCCGGCCCTGTGGCGTCGTGGTCCTGGACTTCCGGCCTCCAGGATGGAGACGGTCATCCTCCCGTCCCACCCCTGGCTGGGGTCTCTGCGGCAGCGATGCCAGAGGACTGGTGGCCCCACAGGAATAAGGATGACGGCTGTACTCTTCAACCCCTCCTCTGCACATGGCCTCCGCGAGCCCTGGATGGCGGACGCAGGGGTCTCCAGGGATCAGAGAGGGAAACACCTTGTCCAGGGCCTCACGGCCACTTGGTAGCCCCACACGGCAGGTGGACCACAGAGCAGGCAGCTTGTAAGGGCCGTAGTGCTGCCAGTCTCAGCCAGTGACAAGGTGCTGTAGCCCACGGCACAGAGGAGGGTCTGTAGCAGCCCCGAGTCCAGCTGTTGCCTAACAGGCAGGGGTGAAGCTCACGCAGACATGGCAGATCCAGCCCCCACTGAGGTGCAGAAACCAGCGGCCCTGGCCCGAGGTGATGGTGGGGTAGGGCAGGGCAAGGGTGACTCATCAAGGTCATCTGGCTCCTTGCCTGAGCCAACCCTCACCCTGAGCCTCGGAACTCCCTACAGGATGAATTTAAGCTCTTAATGCCAGTAGAGTTGGCCAATAAGAACCCCCGTCAGGCTGGTGAGATGGTTCAGCAGACTAAGCACCTGCTTAGTCAACAGGGACAAGGGTTTGACCCCTGGCACCACATGCCATGCCAGCCCCACCCCCAGGTGCACTGAGCCTGCCACCGAGACCAGGCATGGTGGTGCATGCCTGTAATCCCAGTGCTGGGGAGGCTGAAACAGGAGGATCACTACACATCCGAGCTGCATAGTGAGACTCTGTACCAAATATATAAAAAGAAGAAGAAGAAAGAACCGCCACCTCTGGTCCTAGATGCACAGGCACCCACTGGCCAACGGGGTTACACCGGTACAGTCGTTATCCCACATGCACACACAGGCCCTTGCACACGCAGCATCCATTACACGCTGCCTGCCCTTGCACACGCAGCCTCCATTACACACTGCCTTCCTGGAGCGTGCAGGATGCTTTCTACATACAGCCAGCAGAACTGCCCCACCCACCTGGCCACCATCCTTGCACCTGCATCACCAGCTGTGCCACCGTTCCTCTGGGGATGAGCACCCAGAGGCCCCACTGGGTCAGGCATACATGCACGTTTCTGGCTTTGAGTCAGCCCCAAGGCCCCGAGGGCAGGGCCAGCCACACCCCACCACCTCACTTACATAGATCACACGGCTTGGAGACCCGGATGTGCTGGAGGCAGGGGCAGAAATGATGCTCTCGGAGGACGTCCTGGTTTCCTGGAACAGAGATGGGGAGGCTGAGGCAGGGGATCTCTGTATGGGTGCGGCGGCAGCCACACTAGCCTAGGAGGCACCAGACAGGATTCCTCACAATAACAAGTGTACCGCGTGGACAGTATTCCAGGAAGCCAGAGTCTGGACCACAGCTTCACGGCCACAGGCAACACAGCTGTGCCTGGCACCAGTGGGAAAGGCGCAGAGGCTCCTGCGCGGCCACAGAGGGCCCTGTGGACCTTGGGGGGCGAGCTGTGCCCTTCGTGGCCACATGGGCTCAGGGACACGGCACCCGCCACACTGCTGCACACACCTGCTCCCCACCTCGGCCTGGGAGACCTCCTGGTCAGCCGTGGTTGGGAGGCCCCGGTCAGCACTTGGCACTGTGCCACCCTGCCTTTGGTCCTTGTCACTGGTCTCTGAGCGGCTGCGCGTGTCCGTGCCCATCTCTCCCTGAGGGCCCCTCTGGCTGGGCCTCCTGACCCCTCCCTGTGCTGGCTGCACACACCCGGCTGTCATTTTCCTGCAGTCCCTCTCCTCCCCCCTCCAAGCCCCTCCTGTGCCCCCACAGTGTCACTGGGATCCAGGCTCCTTTTCATCCATCTGGGGGAGATGTATCCATCAGGGGCTCCCCAGAACCTCACACCTCTCCTTGTCGGCAGCCCCATATCCTCTGCCTGACACCTACTGACTCCTGGTCATTGCCCCTGCCCAGAATTCTGCCCAGTCGGCCTCAGTGTCCCCCCCCCCCCCACTGCAGAGGATGCTGGTGGCCCCACTTGTCAGGGGCTGAGCTGAATGCTCCCAAACTCTGCATGAAGACAGGTGACAGAGGTCGCCAGGGTCATGGAACCACCAGGATGGGCCTCCTCCCATCTGGCTGGAGGGTGTGGTATGCACACCTATAATCCCAGCACCCAGAGGGCTGCGGCAGGAGGATCTCTGAGAGTTTCAGGCCAGCCTGGGCTACACAGTGAGACCCTATCTCACAATACTAACCAAAAAGGGGGGATTAGATTGGTACACACACACACAGGGACAACCACTTGAGGACACAGGGAGAAGACACCATCTGCAAGCTCAGAAGAGAGAGACGCCCTGCCTGCAGGTGGCAGGGACCTTGGCCTGTGGCCAGAGACAGGCGTCTCTGCCATTGAAGCCCCTGGATTTGGGCCTTTGTCCCTCCAGCTCATCCTATGTTCAGCTCAACACCAGCAGGACGTGCAGACATGGGGACCAGATATGCCACACGGCAGGCAGTGGGGACACCAACCTGTAAGACACGGGCATGGTGCCCACGCAGGCCTGGCTGTACCTGGGGCTCTGCATCTAAGGAGAGAGGAGGGACAGGGTGACACCGCCCAGCTGTCCCTCATTCATGCACCTGGGGGTCCCTGCTGGAGCTCTACCCACCTTCTCATCCCCTCGGCCCCTGCACCACACGAGGATCAGGTGTCAGCTTAAGGACCAGCCTGTCCCCTTGGGCCATAGGCCTCTGAGCCGGTGGCTGATGCCACCTCTGTGACCTCAGCTTGTCCCCAGTGCTGCCCGAACAGAAGGGGTCATGATCTACGCAAGAAGCCCCGGGCCTCAGCTGCTTCTCCAGGACACGGAGAATGTCCGTGTCTATCTCCAGGGACAGCTCTGGGGCTGACCACCTCTGCCCCAGTGACAGCTTCAAGAGGATTGGTGACTCGGTCACCACCTCTGTGCGGCACTTTTCAGGCTGGTGGCCACCTGAACTACCCAGGCCTGACCAGCTGTGACAGTCACTGTCTAGGAGCAGGGTGGTCATGTTCCTCTTTGCCAGCTGGGCAGGAAGCACACCAGGCTGGAGCCTGGCCAGCTGTGGCATTGTCTCAGGGAGTGTCTGTGCCTGGGCTGCCTGAGGACTGAGCCACAAAGCCACGGCTCCAGCACGCCATGGACACCGTGGCCAGGAATCTGTCTACCTACTCAGGGCAGGACGAGGCCCTCTCTGTCCTATGCATGCAGGCTTAGAGGCCCCTGGCTGCCTGGTGACCCTGAGAGTGGCAGGGGCTATTCTGATGCTTCCTGCAGCCCGGCCCAGCTGTGTGCAACAGGCTGCCCTGTGTGGTTCCCAAGGCTGTGGCTGTGGGCTGCCCTTCCCCTGTTCCGTTCATGCTCATAACACAGGAAGTTCCCATGCGCGCGCGCGCGCACGCGCGCGCGCGCGTGTGTGTGTGTGTGTGTGTGTAAGTGTCTAGGCCCCTTAGCAAGCTGGGTCCCTCCCCAGGTCCCTTCTGTGGGCCTCTGCCGACCTTTGGAACAACACAGACCAGTCACTGCAGGGTCACCACAGGGGCCCAGGGGTGGAGCCACAGTGTTCAGAACGAACTGTTAACCAGCGTGGTTATGTGAGGGAATGACAGGACGTACCAGGAGCCAGCATTGTCCTGCCATCCTGCCCACCGATGCCACAGCAGGGCTTGATGAGGGAGAGCTGTGACCATGGGAAGGGTAGAATCTGAATCGGGGTGCAGAGCAACTGGGGCGCTTTCAGGAGTGAGGGCTGCCTGAGCGCCCCACTCGGCGTGGCTTCCTGCCTCTGTGCTCTCTGCAACCCAAGCCTGTGTCCCCCCAGAATGGCTCCTGACCCCACCTTCGCCTTGCTCTGCGTCCTCACTTCTGGCAGCGGGCACTGTTTGGGGGCAGCGTGAGCCCCGCTGCGCTTATCCCAAGAGTCCTTGGGGCCCTGGGGGCTACAGCCCTCCAGGCAGGCTCCTTCCTCTGGGCAAGGCTCAGAGCCCGAGTCCTGCTCACAAACCAGACCAGGCCTCTGCAGTCACGGTGCAGCCCCCAGGCCTCCAGGCAGAGTGAGCAGGGAGGGGCTGGCCCCGAGCCTTGGCCCGAGCGCAGACCAGTCCCTGTCCTCCCCCTGCGTCTGCTTCAGCTCTCAGTCCCTCACTCCTTGGAGCCCGCCCACCTGCCATCTAGCAATGGCCCTCCCCGGTTGACCCTCCCTGTGAGGCTGCGGTTCCCTGTGACCCCATCATGCCTGCTGTTGTGACACTGCTGGCTGTGGAGAAGGGGACCCAGTCCTCGCCCTGGACAGCAGCTCCAGAGGGCACAGCCCCTCAGCCTCGGTCAAGCGGGCCTTGGCCTTCGATTTCAGGGAGGCCAGGGAAGTCATCTCTGTCCAACTTGACAGGAGCTTTTTCTTGTTCTCTTTTTTTGTGGTACCGGGGATTGAACCCAGAGTCCTTCCTCTGAGCCTCAGTCCCAGTTTTATGTTTTGTTTTTTTGAATTTTAAGACAGGGTTTTACTAAATTGCTAAATTGCCAGGCTGTGCTCTAACTTGTGATCTTCCTGCCTCAGCCTCCAGACTGTTGGGATGACAGGTGGGTGCCACCAACCATTTTTGTTTAGGGCAGAGTTGACTACAACTGAAAGACCAACCACGTGACTCAGGGCGGAGCTTTGGGTCACATGGGCCCATGGATTGCTGGGATCCTGTGTCAATCACACCTACCTCAGGGGATGCCAGTAAAACCTCACCAATGTGGCACTGTCTCATGAATAGGGAAGGTGAGGTGTCCTGCCCCCTCAGGGAGAGGATGAGGAAGCTCTGTAGCGACCTCCTGGGCCTGCCCCAGGTGGCTTTTTCTGTATCTGATTTTTGCGTCCTTCCCTGTCGTAAGCTGCTACCCACAAGCACACCTGCGTCCCGTGAGGGGAGGAGAGCCCTCCCTTCCGACAGGTGCTGGCCCGAGCATAAATCGCTAAATCGTCATGGTGGGCATCTAATATGGCTGATGCCCTTTAAACAAAAGCCCATCTTCCCCAAGACCACCTCCCCCCTTCTCCAATTCAGCCCAGGGTGCAACTTCCTTTCGCCCTTTCCACCACCTCAAGGAAGACCCCCAGTCAGCTCGGGTCTATCTAAACGTCCCCCTCCAAACCCCACCCCCAGCAACAGGCCATAAAAGCCTCAGCCTCCCTTTGTTCCAATCCAGAGAATTCCTCATCTTCCCCTGATTCTTTCCATGTCCTCAAAAATAATAAATCCCCTTTCTCTTTTTACTTCTGCCTGTTTCTCTGATGCTCCAGTTACCTAAAAAAACCTATCACCTTCTACTTGTCATCTAACTTGAGGATGGCTCGGGGACCATCACACTTGCAGGTGACATCAGAGGTAGTGTTAGGTCTGTTTGGGGCCTCCGACTTCACAGCAATCCCCAAATTTCCACAGTCACAGCCACTGTGTCCTGAGGCCAGTGGGGCCAGAGCCTTAGGCTCCTGAAGGGCCTGGCCACAGAGTCACCTCTCTCCACCTTGTCACTCCTCCCCCAGGCCTGGAACCCTGGGACCACATCCCGAGGGCCCAGCTGTGGCCTCCTGACACAGGATGGTGTGAGCCAGAGAAAAATATGTGGGGACCAGGGATGCCACCAACCTTGTTTCTGTCCTCAGTCCTGGCTGCCTGTCGACACGCAGGGTGCCAGATGGAAGAACCTGTGGTGGGAGAGCCAAAAGGAGGTGGTTAGTGCGAGTCTCACAGCAGGGCAGGAGGGGGCCACGTGGGGCCCCCACCCACCGGGCCAGGGTACAGTGGCCTGAGGCACACAGCCATGGGGCAGATATGCCTCGTGTGTCCACTGCTCCCTGGGAGAAAGCAAGGTTCTAAGCACCTCAGCATTCTCTTTGTGGCCTCAGCTGCCTACAGGCCCAGCCACGGGGACAGTGGCGCCAACCAGGGGGCAGCCGGCCTCAGGCACCGGGGCTTGCATGTGTTGGAGCTCCCCAACAGAGTGGGGAGCAGGTCCGGTGGGCACAAGTGTGGGTGCAGCTCTAGCTCTGTCACCGTCCCACCCAGCTTCCTGGCCTGTTAGCCCCCTGCCAAGTCAACAGAGGACCAGCTGCACAATGAGTCGGCCCACCAGTCGCCCTCTGCTCCACTCTGACTTGAGCTGCCAGGCACTGGCTGTCCCCTAAAACTGAGTGCCGCAGGTCACCCTGCCTCCTTGGGTCCTCGGTAGACACAGTCGGATAGGTGAAGGACAAGACGAAGACGGGCTGGGGACTGCAGTACAGACCTTCACAGCTTCCTGTTCCTGGCAGGGATGGCGAGGCTCTCCAGGCTTCCCGAAGTAGGCGCCCTCCCCCTCCCCCATGGCTGTGTGCCCTCCTCTCCCCCACACCAGCTCCCGAGTTAGAGCACCCCAGAATGCGAGCCTCACTCAGAAAGGGGGGTCATGAGTTCCACCTCAAACTGTATCCTCAGGGCTCCACGCCTTGGGCATGTGTGCGTGTGTGTGTGTGCATGTGAGTGTGTGTGTGTGTGCATGTGTATGTGCGTGCAAGTGTGTGTGTGTGTGTGTAACACTGCTTTAAATTTTTTACCACTCAAAGGGCCAGCCATCGCTTCTCGGCCTTTTGGCTAAGATCAAGTGTGGTATCAAAGGGCCAGCCAAATAGCTCAGTGGATTAAAGCATCCGCAAGCAGGAGCAGGGGCCAGGGTTCGATCCCCCGGCCTGCCGAGCCGGCCCCACCCCCAGGGAGTGCTAGACAGCAATTGAGACTGAGCGCGGTGGCCGCATCTGTAATCCCAGCTGTTGGGAGGCTGTAAATGGGTGGATTGCTAGGAGTCTGATCTAGTAGTGAGACCCTGAACACCCTGTAGGCTCTTCCCTAAAATACAAAATAAATAAATAAATAAAATTTTTATGACTGAAAAGGTAAGAAGCGCTACTCATTAAAAAGTATAGAAACCTAAAACAGCAAATGAAACAGACCAAAGTCACCCATCCCAGGCCTGCTTCAGTGGGACGTCCCGCGGGTCACGTGTGGCCTCACACCTGCAGCTTCTGCTGTGTCCTGTACCCCTCATAGGGAAGTACTGGGGGCAGATGGGGGCTGCAGCACCCCCACCACAGGCTCACGCCACCGCCTCCCCCGTCCTCCAGCCTGAGCCTAGATGTCCGGCATGGGTTGCCCACCTCAGTTTATCCATTTCCTGCTCAGCAGTGGGGAAGGGGCCCTTCCCTGACTTCTCACCCAGCCTCAGCCCTGAGCTGCCTTTTAAATTTCATTTTGAGATGGGGTCTCATGACGTGGCCCAGGCTGGTGTTTCCGTGATGACCAGTGAGGGAGGCAGGCGACCGCTCTCCTGTGTTTAGAGTGTCCAGTGGGAGCAGGGGTAGTTCTGGGGTGACCTGGAGGCAATGGGGGTCCCAGAAGCTCAGGCTTGCCTGAGTTCCACCTGGCAGCTCCCCATCCAACAGCACCTCTGTGGAGACCCACACCCAGCGAGCCGGAGCCGATCTCAGGGAGACCTGCCCCACTGAGGGCCTGGCACAGGTGTCTGTGCCCCAGAGAGCAAAGTTCAAATGCCCCCCATGCCATACCCATACGAAGTATGGGGCAGCCGGGGCCCCGGGGTCCAGCAGGTCACACTGGAGGCAGCTGCCAGCTTTGGCTCAGAACATAAAGAACCTCTCTGTGCCCGAGACGTAGTTGCCCGGGGCGTGAGCTGGTGCCCCAAGCACTGGTGTGCTGGACTCCCTCCTGGCTGCTGTCTGATGACACCATTCACGGGGCCTTCCCTGCACGGCAGTCCCACACAGCTGGATGGGCATAGACAGCCTTTCAGCCCTCTGTAGCAGGCCCGGAGACAGCAGTGACACTGGGGACAGTGGATGAGGCTGCCCCATCTGGCATCATCCCCGGGTTCTCACAGAAGGGGGGCCTGTTGGACACCGGCCAGGTCGGGTCCCTTTGCGGTCACTTGGGCCATCAGTAGAACAGTTATCAGATGCAGCTGCAGCCATTTGGCCACCCAGCCCTGCCCCCTCCCCTGGGATCCAGGAGACAAGAGTCATCCCCAGAGAGTGTGGCTGGTGAGGTCTTGGTCTCACCGCCCTCATCATAGCTCCCAGCCTTGTCCAACTTGGTGCTAGAGCTCTGCTTGTGTGCTCTGGGGCTAGGCAAAGCCTTCCCAAAGGCCAGCCTCCACCCTCCTGCCCCTCTCCTCAGGCTGCGAGGCCAGCTGTCACCTTGCCCTGCCTGGGCATGCCCACCTGTGCAGGCTCCACGCCTACCAGCCCACACCCATGTCCCGCAGCTGCACCTCCTTCAAGCTGGATGACGGGCCCCGGCCCTGGGCCTGGGCCTCACGATCCTCCCTCCTGCTGCGGCCAGGCCTGGCCTCGCCCACCCCTCCTCTGGGTGCTCTCCGGGCCTGGCTTACACTTGGCTGGCTCAGTGAGCTTAGCGACAATCCACGCACTGAACATTGAACCCTCTGGGCCTGGTGATCTCTGTGGCCATGTTGTGGCCTCCCAGCTGTGGCCCTGCAGTGGGAATCCCTGACCTGCTTGCTGGCCTCTGTCACTGACCCCTTCAAGCCTGGTCATGGCAAGCCTCCCTGGAATCCTGGTCCTGGCCCAGGGTAGCCCCTTTCCTGGCACTTTAACAGGACGCACTTGGCTTGTGTTACTTACACGCTGGGGGTGAATGAAGTAAGGTGAGCCTTGGGTGCAGCTCACAGAGAGTGGGGTGCAGAATATCTCACCCCAAAACGTAACCAGGACACTAGCACAAGCCACCCAGTCACATTTGCTTGCACAAGGATTTTTTTGAGTGGGTTTCCTGGGAAACGGAAGGCTCAGATGAGCGCTGCACATAGAGACACCCATGCATAAAAGATCCCACTGGCAGCAGGAGCATGAGGGTGGGGCTGGCAGGGCTGGGAGCGGCGAGCAGCGGGGGCTCAAGCTCCGCCTGGGGGCCCCATGTGGGCAGCACATCCAGCTCCTGACTGCCCTCTTCCAGTGCTGTCCTGGGCTCAGGGACCCTCAGCGGGCACTGTGGGCTGGGAACCGGGGCCTGGGAGCCCTGCCCGCCCACCCCAGGCTCCTGGGCATGCAAGCAGCTGACACTGCATGTCCAGTGAGTGGCGTGGACCTCCGGGGCCTTCTTACCTTGAAGATACATCTCCTCGCCTTCCGCAAACATCTGGCTGCACCTGACGCATAGTGCGCAAGAAGGGTGGTAGTGCTTGTCCCCTGCCTGGAAGAGAGCACAGATGGGTGTTCGCCCTGACACTCGATGTGGGCACTGCACACTGGTCCTCAGGGACACTGGATGGGTGTATGTCCAAGGGCGTGGCAGCCACCAGGACAGAGATCGTTCCTGGAGTGACCCCACGGGTGCCCCAGCCATAGAAGGAGCCCTGCCTGAGACCGGGTGAGGCCAAGCCACTCTTGCCTGAGCTCCATGCCCAGGAGGCCAGGTGTCCCAGCAGTCCCCAGGTGTGGCTGTGGGTGGTGAGCAGGGGGAGGGAGGGCCTGGTCTCTGACCCCCTGTCTCAGGATGGGAGGAAGGGGGTGAGGAAAGAAGGAGAGGAGAAGGAAGGCAGCTGTCTCTCCTCAAAGGACTAAGCGGGTGGGAAGAGGAAGGATTTTTTTGTTTCTGAATGACATCTCTGTATCCCCGTTTGCTCAATTAGCATTTTTCCATAATTCCTAAGCTCCACTAAATTAGATTACAAATACCAATACATAACCAGCCTACACCATTATGGTAGCCGGCCTGGCCTGCTTCTGCAAGGCACAGGAAGAATCCAATCGCCCCAGAACGCAGCGCTCAGGGTTCCTCGGCAGCGGGCAGCTCCTGCCCAAGGCGGGTGATAAATTCCATGTCTCCTTCTTTGACGGGTCACACTCACGGCCCGGATTTGAATTCGTGGTCACCACCTCCCCGAGCATGTAGGCCTCAGGAAGTCCCACAAGCTCCTTGCTTGTCTTCTCTCCCCTCTGGGGCCAGTCCGTGCGCAGGGAGGGACAATCCAGAACTGCTTCTCTCCAGCATGGTCCAGACGTGGCCTCTGCCAATCCTTAGGCCCATCCTCACCCACTCACGTTCTGGTCCTGTTGGCTGTGTCTTCAGCCATCGCTCCCACCACCCTGTGTCCCATCTGGTCCTTTCCTGCCCTGCCTCCCCGTGTCAATAGATACCAGGGCTTCCTCCTCCTCCAAGAGCCACCCCCAACGTGAGTGGCAGCTGGGTCACACCAGAGCTGCTGGTGACAGGGCTCTATTGGGGCAGCGGGTCACTTGGTGCCTGCCCGGACCAGACACTGTGGTGGCTCTGGTGGCCGCCACGCCAGGTGGTCAGAACAGCACTTCTGTTTGAAGTCTGAATGAGCTACTCCAACAGCTGTTTTAGGAGCCAAAGCCACGTGGCCATGTCACAGCTGTCAACTGGGGCTCAGGGCAATTTTTTTTTTTTTTTTTCAGAACTGGGGCTTGAACTCAGGCCCTTATTCTACTGAGTCATCTCCCCAGCCCCTTCAGGGCGATTTTAATGAGGCCAAGCAACACAGGCACTCCCAAGTCTGCAACCTGGGGCGGTCTCCACTGCCCCTCGTCCGGGGGCCCCAGCTCTGGCTCCTAGCTGCAGAAGTTCCATGAGAACCACTCTTCGTGGAGTGCCCCACGCAGCAGGTCTGCGGCGCTCCCACCCATGAACCGGGGAGCGAGGTCGCTGCTGGAGGCGGTCTCCACACTGGCAGCCTCTGCCCCGCAGCAGGGCTTCAGGGACCCGCTTCACACACCCACCGACCTGGGTGTGCACACCGTCACTTCACCTGGCACGGAGAGGTGGAGGGATGGACGAGGTCATACCCAGGCCAGGCGCAGGGCAGGATCAGAGCTCCACGCCTGGCCCTGGAGTGCGGCGTGTAAGTGTGGCCTCCAGGGCTCTCAGCGCTGAGACCTGCTGTCCCACAGCCTGATCCTTACGGCTGGAACAAGCAAGGTGGAGAACACAACAGACCTAACGCGGGGCGGAGGCCAGAAACAGCAGGGCAGATCCCGTGCATTCCAAGCTCAAGACGAGGCAAACCGATCTGTGCTGCTCCCATGGAGGTCACTGCCCGGGCCCCGGGGGCTGGGGCTGGGCAGGCTCTGGGCCTGGACCTGGGTGCTGGTCACGAGAGCGTGCTTTGTGCGTGAGCTGCATGACCACAAGGTGGGACAGCTCCAGTCCCACTGCGCAGTGGAGCCCAGGCCTGGGCGGTGCAGCTACAATGGCGAAAGGACTAGAGGGAGCACAGAGACAGGTCCTTGTGGCCTCAGAGGAGACAACAGATAGAAGAGTTGACACCAAAGGCCATGAGCAGCCAGGTAAAAAGGAGGAGCTAGACTTCAGGGAAATGAACCTTGTGCCCATCACAGGACTTTGGTGACACAGCAAAAGGGCAAAGTAACGAATGGGAGAACCCTGGGCCTGGGCGCATGCCTGCGACCCTGCACCAGGAGGCCGAGCCAGGAGCATCCATGCCAGTTCAAAGCTGGCTGAGCTACACAGCGAGACCTTGTCTGGAAAAACCAAAAGAAGGGAAGAGAATATTTGCAAACGATGCACCCGAGGAGGGTGTGGCATCTGGGATACATGAGGAGCTCCAACCACTCGGCAAGAGACAAATGGCCTTGCCTAGAAACAGGTAAAGGACAGTGTGCATGCAACACCAGGGCCCTGTCATCAGGGAACACTAGCCAGGCTCCAAAACGCAGCCTGCATACCTGCCCGGCAGCCTCTCCCTCCAGCGGCCACCCAGAGGGCCTACGGCACTGGAGACAGGTGGCCCTGCCCGAGAGCACCTCAAGGCACTCGGGAGGCTGTGGTGCATGGCTTCAGAAAAGTGCCAGTGCCTCTGGTGAGTGGCTGTCACCTTTAATACGACAGAGCGAGGGGGATGCAGCCCAGAGCTCAGGGCAGATGCCAGCCTCTCCTCCTGGGGCCAGCACGTGGCCCATCTGTCAGATGGACCCCCACATGTGCTTGATCCACATGCTCCGTACCACCACCCCAGAGGCCAGAAACACCTCCTGCTAGCTCATGCCCTCCCAGGCGCTCTGCACGGAGGCGGGCCCGGCCGGCTCTAGGAATGCTCACCCAGGCCCGAGCTGGAGCTGCTCTTTGAACTTCCAGAGCTGCATCTTAATCTTAAAAGACCACCTTGCCAAGGCACAAGACAGAAATGGAATGGGCAAGAAGAGAGCCAGAGCAGGGGGAGGGCAGTGGTCCCTTGGGAGTGTCCTGCACTAGACAGCCAGCAGCCCCAAGCTCTCCACACCGACACCTGCAGCAGCCACGTCTCTTCCACCCAGACTGCGCTTCTCTCCTGCACAAAGGCAGGCCGCCCCTCCTCCTGGCCCTCACCACGGGGGCGTCCTCCACCGAGGGGCCCTGGATAAGGGGCTCTGGCGGAGTGATCTGGTGGAGCATTGAGGAGCACAGGCCGCTCAAGGCTTGGGGACCTGCCTTAGAAACTGAGGGTCTGGTCCACACCCCTGACTCTGAGGTCGGACAGGGATCAGAGCTGCGCAGGGCTTGGGTCTGTGTGGATGGAGTCTCATGAAGAGGGCTGGGGGACCCCCAGGGGTCACAGTGCTAAGGGGTGGACGGGCTGAAGGAGAGCCGGTGCGAGCGGCTGTATCCATGCCTAGCTGTCCGTGTGTTGCGCTTCTCTGTGTGTGTGTCTCTGGTTACGCCCCACGCTGCATCTGTACCTTCCGCTGTGTGTTGGGCTGCATGTGTCCATGTGTCCCTATTGTCATCTAGCGTGCAGAATTTAATTCCCTTCTGAATGCTCAGGAGCGTGGGTGGCGGCTTTTTTATTAATGATTCTGTTTACTGTGTGATAAGCAACTATTCCTTCTGGGTGCATTTTTTTAACAGACATTTATTTCGGGGGGAGCCGGTGTCTGTGCAGACGCACAGCTGGCTTTCTGCTGATGGCAAAGCTGCTGGCCGACAGGGTGGAACAGGAGGCACCGTGAGGACGCAGCAGGAGGAGGCGGCCCCTGCCAAGCACCCTGGCGGGGAGAAATGCTGCAGCAACCTGGGTGTCCCCCTCTCCTGCTGGGTCCCCACAAAGCCTCCCTTCCTCAAGTAGGCCTGTCACCGCCATTCTCGGGACTCAGCCCTGACCCTGGACAGGATACTCTGAGGCCAGTGAGGGTCTACAAGGTGAGTAGGAAAGAAGGGAAACACACAGATGGAAGAGTCAAGGAAGAACGAAGGGACAGGAATTCACTGGTGGTCCTGGAGGGATGCGGGGCTTCTTGTTGCCACGGAGACAGCGTAGGTGCCCACACTGCACTGGAGCAGGGCCCAGAGCTTGGGTGGGTGCGCCGAGAGAGAAGCCCCCAGGGCAGCAGGGAGGCAGGACTTGGAGCCAAAGCAGGGCCCCCACAACGCCTCTCCCCACCCCCAGCCCAGGCCGCTGCTCACCCAGAGCCAGTCCCACCACAGCTTCTGTCAGACAGCAGGAGCTCCTCACCGCCTGCACGGCTGCCCCCACGGCCCAGCTGCCCGCCTGCTTTGCTCCCCCGTACCGAGCCCAGGGACAGCAGGAGGCAGCTCAGGAGGATGGGAGCAGAGCAGGGAGGGAAAGCCCTCTCGCCACTGAGTGCACATTTCACAGGCGGGCGCTGCTGGCACCCAGGGCTTGAGCTGGCACTGTGCCCACTGCAGGCAGGCGCAGCACAGGCGAGGGCCCAGCGCTGGCAGACCTGGGATGCCCCCTGCTCAGCCTCTGTGGGGCACAGAAACAGGAGTGACAGGTGCCTTGGAGGCCTCACATCCACTGTGCCTGCCCCCAGGACCCCTCTGTGGCCCCGGCACAGCTCCAACAAGCCCCCTCTACTGCTTCCTACCTGCCCCGGATCCAGGCAGCCCGGTCCAGTTGACAGCCCTCCTCCAGAGCACCAGCCTGTGAGTGCACACCACACTCCTCAGCCAGTGTCCAAGCGCCTTCCCTTTGCTCTGGATCTGTCCCTGGCTGCAGCTGCTCCCAAGAGCCCAGCCGCTAGGTGCTGCAGCCTGGCCAAGCGTCAGGCGGTGCCAAGGAGGCGGCAGCTCCCTGCCACGGAGCCCGGCTTGTCTCCGCCTGCAGCTCCCGCCCGCAGCGCCAGGAGGCTGCTCAGAGCGCTGCAGAGCACCAGCCCCGCAGCACATTGCTGCCCTGGCAGAGGAGGAAGCAAGAGCAGGGTCTTCCCACCAGGCCCCGCATCCTCCGCTGCACCGCACCCCACCGGCTCCTGGCAACCAGACAGCCCCTTCCAGATGGCCTGGTCTCAGGGCCCAGGGACCCAGTTTTGTATTTGGGCTAGGTTAAGATCAAGGACATGTACCTAGCACACAGGGCTTGCCTGTGCCCTTGAAGCCACCATGGAGGAGAACACCAGGGCCTGAGGTAGAAGCCACTCCCTGGGGAACACATGGAGTGGAGCTAGGGACAGCACCAAGGGTGCCCTGAGAGCCCTACGGCACCTGGACAGGTGCAGTGGCCAGAGGACGCAGGGTTGCCAAGACTGCATCAGGCTGTCCTACCCTGCCTCTCCACACTGGGCTGGCCACGGCTGCAGCCTCTGGCCCCACTGCCTCCACGCTAGCCATGAAGGGTCACAGTGTGGACACAGGATGAGGTTAAGATGAAGCCTGGGTCAGTGCCCTGGCAGGGGTCAGCGCAGCAAGAGGCAGCCTGTACCCAAGCCCAGCTCCGCCTCAGGATGGACCCACCGCGGGAACTCCCATACCTGGCTGAGTGCTGGCGGCAGCGTCACCTGAAGCACCAAGGACAACCCATCAGGGTGATCCTGTGGGCAGGGCAGCAGCACGTGGGCAGAGGAGCCCAGCGTGGGGACTCGGTGTGTGTGTGGGTAGGAGCCCTGGAGAGGGCAGGGCGGAGCAGCCAGGAAGGGAGGCTGGAGCTGTTGGGGCTTCCAGGAGGGCCCCAGGGGACCCTCAGGAGACAGCTGTGGGGGAGGAGAGGCACAGCGCAGCTGCTGTGGGTGCATGCCGGGCGGAGCTCACAGGGGCTCCCAATGGGAGCATTAGAAAGCCACCTGGGAGGAGGACAGGCAGGGTGGGCTCCAGAGGAGGGGAGGAGGGCACAGTCGGACTTGGGAAGGGCCTGGGGAGGGGCAGGGGCCAGGCAGAGGTGGACTGGGAGAGGGGACAGGAGGGCCATCTGTCCGCCTGCACAGCTCTTGCACACACGAGTCAGGTCAGCGCTACATGTGGCTGCCACGAAGGATGCTTAGATCTGAAGCCGAGAAGACCGCAGCCCTTTCACCCACTCGCAGAACCACGGGGAGGCCCCGCCAGACGGGCAGCGGGACGGTGAAAGATAATTAAGATGTGAGGACTGCTCTGGGCCGGACGTGACAGGCAAGAAGACATCTCAGCCTCCCTGAGGATGGAGGGAGGGTAGATGTTGCTCACCCCGCGCGGGCAAAGGCACGCTGGGAGACACAGCCCTCTGCGTTAGTGGTTTATGGCAACGGCTACAGGGACTACCGAGAGCCGCACAAATGCTCCTGGTTTTGACTCGACTCTTACACTTCTGTAAATTTATCTGAAGGGAAAATAGAAAGTCAAGGAAAGCAATATGACTAAAAGGTGGCTCGCTGCAGCGCTGCTTACACCGGAAATAGCTGCCTCGCCCACCGTTAGCGGTGAAGGGCTGCAAGGGCACAGCGACACTGAGCCTCGCCAGCCCGGGAACGACCCAACACCCTGCACCTGCCGTGCAGAAGCGGCCGACCCGGGACCCTCGGTGGGCCCCGTTCACACCAAGTAGCCAAGACGGGGGTCTCCATGGAGACAGGACGTCAGTTTTTGGCTGGAGGGCTTGAGGGCACAGGCAGTGGCAGCTGAGGGGTGTGGGGCGCTCTGTCGGGATGAGACGCCCAGAAATCAGCCGGCGCTGGCTGAGGATGCTGATTGCCAGTGTGTGGCACAGTTGGAAGCAGGTGAAGCATGTCTCAGAGAAGTTGTTTCAAAGACCCAAATGCGCCAAAAAATTTGCAGACAGTGACTCTGTGACGCAGGAAATCCACTCCACTGAAAACCTCAGGACATAATATTGCATAAGTGGTTTGACACCAAGGATGATTCCATGGAGACGAAGCCAGGGAGGGACCCGGCCCAGAGTTTTGGTGGGCTGCTCTTTACCTGATCAACCTTCCTCCCACCCATGGGTGAATCACTAAACTCGCCCTAAAGGACGGAGCTCTGCAGAGCAGGGCCATTAACATGTGGCGCGGCCCCCAGAGCAGGGCTGGGAGGGTTGCCAGGCCCCTGCACTGCAGCCCTGGCCACCCTGTAGGCCACCCAACAACTGTGCGAATCAGCAAGGCTCTTCAGCCCCAGGGGTGGGTGGGTGGGTGGGTGGGAGTATCCCTGCGCAGGGAAACTCTGGCTCCTGGGTCCCTCACTTCCAGCAGCCTCTTTGGCATTTCCAACTGCAACACCCTAGGGCCACAGCAAGGACGCCCACACCTCTGGCCTGCACTCGGCCTCCCCCGCCCCCTGAAATGAAGATTTCATAGCTTAGGAGCTGGGGCAGTCATACGGAAGCGTGCGTCTGTCACCTAGGAGCACACCCATGCCCTGCCACCCAGAGCCGGAACCACCACTGCCAGCACCCACCCAGTCACCACTGCTCAGCCAGCTGCCAGACGACTCTGTGCCTCCCCTGGAGACGCTATGGCGACCCCCCTTTCACCTCACAGGGGAGTCCCAGGCCAAGCATGAAAGGCAGCACCAGCCCAGCTCCAGATGGACTCCAACTCTGAACACAGCACGGAACCTGACGGCTTCTGGGGAGACAAGGCGCCTGCCATGCCCTGCACAGAGCTGGAGCAAGGGCAGCGGCTTGGCAGAACACCTGATGACACGCACAGGAGGGCCCAACCTCATGGCAAACCTGGGCAGTGAGGGCCTTGCAGCCCAGGGCCAGCCCGGCCTGAGCCCGCTCACCTCCAGCACGCGCCCGGTGATGAACTTCTCACAGCCATCGCAGCGGATGCCGAACTTGGCATGGTAATCAGCCTCACAGTAAGGCAGCCCGTCCCTGCAACGAGACAGGCGTCAGGGCGAGGTGTGCTCACACAAGGGCCGTGCATGAGGCAGCTGCTGTCACGTGGGGGCTCAGGGGGCTCATGGTGCCAGCCCTGTGAGAGCCACCCCAACACCATCCTGCTGCACAGGCGGGGAAACTGAGGCACACAATGGCCAGGCCACCTGCCATGCGGTGATCGAGGGGCTGGAGCCAGGCTTCAGGGCCTGAAGGGAAGGAACAAAGCGGCATCTGAGATATGAAAGAAGTTTCCAGACATCCCTGTCCTTTCACTTCTGCCCATCAAGAGTCCAGTTTAGAAGCACGCGGACTTCCCACCAGTAATGTGGACACATAACAGCAAGGGCCATATGAGAGAAGCGGTGGCACTTCCACAACAGTGGCCGAGGCCACTCTCATTGCTCACAGGACTGTCACCTCAACCACAGGCACAGCTCCCAGTAAGGAGGTGTGCAGGAGCCCAGGGCAGGCTAAAGTCACTGTTGCTCCAGGCTGGGTCCTGAGGCCCCTCACCTAGGACAGGGAGAGACTGCTGGGCAGCCGAGGGTCAGGACACACCTTCAGAGCTGCCCGCTGCAGGCCCAGGCGCTCCCCTCGGCTGGGTGCACCTGCAGCACACCCTGAGACTCCACTCACGTCTCCATGGCAACACCAACATGCCCTCCCCCTCAACTGTAGGGCTGCTCAGGAGGCTGCTAAGTAACATGGTGTGGGGGAGGCACCAGTACGTGGGGGGGGGACAGCAGCCTGCTGGGGGCTGGGCGCTGTCATCCTTCAAAGCACTCCATACCGTGGTGGCATGTGCCTGCACCCCTCCGTGCTAGCATGTTCCACTGTGTCTGAGAAGGGATTCAGGTTTCCTGTAGTCCCACCACCAGGGTGCCAGTGAGTCTTGTTTGGGGACTTTGCCTTAAAGTGCTTCCCCTGAGGCCCCTGCGGGGTCGTATGCCCTTGCAGAGTAACAGGCCACATCATGAGTTTTTCAGCCAGGTCCGCCAGGAGTCTGAGTAGTCAGCGAGCAGGGTCGACCAGGAGGCGAACGTGGACACACCTTGCACCGGATATACTGAACATGGCCTGGACACACGCACGCCTGTGCCTGTGCGCTCCTTTCCATGCTGTGTGTGTACACACGTGTGGGCAGGCACACACTTTATTCCATGAACTTGTATCACAGGGTCTCTCCCTGCTCCCCTGTGCCGGCTCCCCCTCTTCAAGGTACCCAGAAGCACGAGCTTCTGGGGGGCCCAAGCGCACCCAGAGGGGCTGCACTTCCAGGCCTGTCCATTGCCTCGCCCTCGCCTGCGGGCTGCCTGCTTTGGGTGCCTCCCGCAGCACTGAATGCACCCTGGCCCCTGACCCTGAGCAGTGCCACACTCAAGGCCACAGTCAGCCCTGAGGGTCCCCAGCGTCGCACACGACCAGCCCGGGCCTCCTTCCCAGGACCCCAGCTGGCAGCTGCTGACTTCCCTTTGCTCTGTGGGACCTGCAGCAGGAATGTCCAGATGCTAGGAGGGCAAAAAGTGACACCTGGGACAGACTCAGAGGGGCCCCTGTCCCTGGTCAAGGGGAAAGGACTGGGCGCCTCTGCAGCCTAATGAGGAAGCACAGGCTGGGTGGAGACGGCGGGCTGGGAACATGCCCCGCCCAGGAGCGCCCAAGGGAGAGGACGCCCCGCCCACGCCCCGCCCACGCCCCGCCCACGCCCGCCCCGCCCCGCCCACGCCCCGCCCACGGCCGCACTCACTTGCTGATGTACTCGGCGTCCAGCTGCTTCCCGCAGGCCTCACACTTGAAGCACCCCACGTGCCAGTGCGTGTCCAGTGCCACCAGCGCCTGCCCGTTCTTGATTTCTAAGCCGCAGCCCCCACAACCTGCGGGGGTTGGAACGCAGACCCCTCACGCAGGGCACCACTTTGGGGTGCCCCGGAGCAGGCGGGACCTTACCCACACCCTGCCCTGCTGTTTCAGACCCCACAGAAGGGTTGGAGTGGCCCTGCGGGGACAGAGGGCCCCCTCACGGAGCAGTGGGTGGAGCACATAGAAAAGCCATGGCCGGGCTGGGAGCTGGAGCTGCTGATGGGGCTCTGCCTTCCGAAGATGGGAGCCTCCCGGGGGCGGAGGTGGCTGGCTCCCGGCACAGGCCCTGCCTGGAGAGAGGGCCCGGCAGCTGCCCACCGTGCCTCCTAACCTTCCCCACGGTGGCCGGCACTCTGCATTCTGCGGCCAGCGCGGGCCTGGCCTGGGCTCCTGAACACCTTGCCGCGCCCTCTGTCCTCTCTCAGCGCCACCTGCCACTGCCCTGCTCCTCCCCTGGGGCCCTGAGGGCATGGCACCCCGGCCCTGCTCTGCTGTGCCAGCCATTCATGCCCCTCCACCCTGTGCTCCTGCCGCTCACTGTCACTCAGAGAGGGATGAGTGGGAGCCTCGCAAGGGGCGGGCCGGGTGGGGCCCTGGGCGTGGGCTGCACAGGCGTGTGGGCTGTGTGCATGTGTCCCTGTGGCTGCATGTGCGTGCGTCTGTGTGCAGTGAGTGTGTGCATGGCTGTGTGTGAGCAGTCATCCCTGGGGATCCACGGGAACTGATTCCACGACCCCCACGGGTCCCCAAATCCACACACACGAAGTCCTCCTGTGACAGGTGTCCTGTTGCAGGTATGCTTTGCACACGTTCCCGGGTGCCCGAGTCACCTCTGGGTTGCCTTCCACACCCAACACAGGTGCGGGTGAGTGCTGCGCGCTCAGGAGGCGCTGACAGGAGGGCCTGACGCGCCCCGCACACAGGCAGCCACCTGAGGTCATTCAAACCCACCGAAGTGGCTCCTGCAGACACAGAGGTCAGCCGTATGAGTGTCTGCACATCCGCCTGCGTGTGCACGTGTGCACACAGGTAAGTCTCTGTGAATGCGTGTCTATGTGTGTTCAAGTGTGTCTCCACAGGTGTGCCTGCCTGAGTTGTCTGGTGTGCACACAATTGCGGAAGAGCGTGTGCTGTGTGAGGCGACCACCTCAACCCTCAGACCCTCGATCACCGAGGCGGGCACGGCACAGGCTGGCGCACAGCAGGGGCCTAAAAAGCACCGCTTTCTTACGCTCCTTGCCAGACATCTGAGCCACCGACTTTAAGCATAAAAAAGGGCACCCACAGGACTGCTGGCCAGGCTGAGTCTCCTAAAATATCATGGTGTTCAAATCCCCATGGCAACTCTGGAAAGAGGTAGCAGACAACTCCAGGGTCCAGGCCCTGGGAAAAGGGGGCTCGGAGCCTGGGAGCAGGGCAGGTGGGCTCCCAGGGACAAGGAAAGATGGAGCCGCCCTCGGAGCCCCAGCCAGGGCCAGCCCACTCCTTCCCTGCAGGACCCAGGGGCCTTGCCCACAGCGGAGGGACACACTGCATTCACAAGCTCCTGTCCCTCCCCGTGCGCGTCCACATGCCAGCTGTGACCTGTCTGTCCCGGCGCCACGCCATCACGGCCATCTCTGTCCCGGCCCCCACCCCACTCGGCTGCCCAGCGTCTACTTACTCCGCAGGCCCTGTGGCCCGTGCGTGCCACTGCCTGCCGGCGTGGGCAGGGAGCACTTTTGGCACACACAGTCCTTCCCGTTGAAGGTCACTCGGTCCCCGGGTGGGAAAGGCAACCTGCAATGAGAGGGCTGGTCACAGGCAGCCCCGCCGTCTGCCCTCTTCTCCTGGGAGCACCACTCCCCCCAGGCCTGAGCAGCCCTCTACCCTCTCGAGGGATCTCAGGGGGCCACAGACGCCTGGGCCAGGACCACCATGCTTAGGGCTGTGGTGAGGCTGGGCAGAGGTCAGCCCTGAGTTGCCCTTTAGAGATGTTCTAGCGTCTGCCAGCACCCGTAGCCTGGGCGACGCCTGTGTTGCCCTGATTCTCCGAGGACCATGGATGGGCTTTTCCCTCAGAGCTTAAGAATCCTTTCCATCATGGTTAGGAGCACACTGACTGAGATGAACTAGGCAGGTTTCTGGTGATTTTCCTCTAAGGTTTGCCAAGGTTCCTGGACCTGTGGCTGTACAGCTGTCACCAAGTTTGGACATTTTCCACCCATTACCTCTGCGAGCTTTCTTTGGCCTGTCCTGCACACACAGAGCAGAGGACAGGAGGGCAGGCCGACGGTGCAGTCCGGGCTCACAGGGCAGCAGAGCCCCCTCATGTGCATCTGCCTCTTTCGCTCTCCCCACTCCAGTTCGAATAGCTTCCTTTGCTGTTTTCAACTTTACCCATCTTTTCTTCTGTGATCCCTAATCTATTGCTAACTCCATTTTCAAATTCATGGTTCATTCAGGAAACGGATTTTTCACGTGTGGATTTCCCTGTGGTTTCTTTTTTCTGCCTTCCGCAACTCTCCTGCGATGTCCAAGGGCTCAGACATACGTAGAGTATCTTTTATTTTATTTTATTATTAGAACAGGGTTTCACTATGCAGTTCAGGCTGACCATGAAGTCGCTTTGTAGCCCAGGCTTCCCTCAAGCTCAGTGATCTTCCTGCCTCAGCCTCCTGAATGCTGGGGTTACAGTCATGCACCATCATGGCTGGCCGCAGTAGCTGTTTTAAATCAGTGTCTGTTTATTTCACCACCACTGTCCTTTTCAGGTGACCTAGCCTTGGCCAACCTTCTTCCCAGTTCAGAGTGCTGTTTTCTGATTTCCTAGGACCAGCAGCTTTTTGAGTACGTGCTGTGCACTTTATGTTGCTGAGGCTGGGCTTTCCGGCGTCCCTACAGAGCGTGGCTCTGCTCCGGCAGCAGGTGGTCTCGGGCAGACCAGCACGCTCTTTGGTGGCTGGGCTCTTTTTGGTGGGTGGGTTTAAGGCTGCCCTCGCTCCAGGGCTATTTTAGTCCCTGTAATAAGAAGGAACAGCCCTTGGGGCGTCCCTCCTGACGTCCTGGGCGTTCAGCAAGGACCTGTGTCCCTCGGCAGCCTGGCCGCCCTGTGCCCCACCTGTGACGCTCCCTCGCGCGCGCACAGCCTTGTGCCTGGTTCAGACTTGAAGGCGCCCTCCGCTCAGCCTTGAGGTCTCTCTCTGTGGCTCTTTCCTCTCTGCCTCAGTGCCCATTGCTGTCACCTTCTGCCTGGCCTGACTCGAGGTGCCACGCTCTGCCCAGCCCCCTCTGTGCCACCCTCCAGGGCCCTCCCTGCAAGAACGCAGTGTCCTCCTCTCGGTTCTCACGCTTCATCCGGCCTTCTGGTTGTCTGTGCTGGCTCACTCCACTCCAGTTCAGTCCTGCTCTCCCCAAGTTGGGCAGCACCGGCTGCTATTATTATTATTTTTTTTTGGTGCTATTATTTTTAAATAGGAGATCATCTGGAGGTCATCTTTCAGAAGGACTGATTATGTCCGCCTTGTTGCTAAGCTATGTACACAGAAATCAAACATGAGACTGTCCCTGGGGACCTCTGACCCGAGCCGCACAGTAATAACACTCTTGGGCTTTTTCATGAGACTCCTCCCTGCCGCCATGGCTTCCTCCCTGCGGCGTCCAACAGAGGCCATTTCTGTCTCGAGCACACACTGTAACCAGACAGCCCCCTTGGAGCCACACAGAACACCCTCTTAAACTGGGCTTAGTGGGGCAGGGAGCAAAGAGCAGAGAATAAACTCTGTGTTTTGTTTTTCCACTTTGTTTTCTGGCAATGGGAGGCTGGCTCCCTAGTGACCTGCTGGAGGCTGCGGTAGGGTGAGGGGCCCGGGAGGCTGCCCACCATCTCCCTGCTCAGCCAGGGATGATGCGAGAGGCAGGTGGCCTGCCTCGCTACGGGGTTCAGGGACCTAGTGTCTCTGCAGTAATCACAACTGCTCCGCGCCAGACTCAGGGACCAGACAGGAGTTGGGCCAGGCCTGTCCTCCCTGAGCTGCCTGAGATGTGCTCACGCTCTCAGGGCTGGACGGTGCCCACAGTGGGAGCACTGGGGGACGAGGAGCCCAGCTGCACCCAGCCCAGGGTGCCTGCACATGCAGGCCCAGAAAGGGTGAGTACATGAGCGGGTACAGGAATGGATGGAGGGACGTGTACGCATGCAGCACGCTGTGGTGCTCCTCTGGGCTTGGCTGAGCGGCGTGGACATTCTCTTGGGGCCATGGCAGAGAGGTCCTTGAGCAGAGGGGGCTGCACAGTGTGGAGGCTGCAGAAGAGCCGGCAAGGAAGAGAGGGCCTGATCCACAGCAGCAGCTGGCAGATTCGGGCAAGCAGTGGGGTGCAAGTGTCGCCTGCAGACTGGGGTCACAAGGAGTGGCGCAGGGCATGCAGATGGTGTGATGGGGCAGAGGAGCAGCCTTGGGTGGACACAGGCTAGCTGTGCAGGGATGTGGGGGTGGGCAGCACCAGAAGGAAAGGGAGGAGCCGAGGATGAGGGGTGCTGCCCAGGGGACAGTGGAGGCAGCATGGCCAGCTCTGGGGCTGGCTGGGTCCCATGAACAGGAGGGCTCACCGGCAGACGGCGCACACAAAGCAGGCGGGGTGGTAGGTCTTGCCCAGTGCTGACACCACCTCGCCCTCGATGAGCCGCTCGCAGCTGCAGCAGCGCGTGCCGTAGAGCCGCTGGTAGTCCTGGGTGCAGATGTACTCGCCCTGCCGCACGAAGAAGCCACCCTCCGCCAGGTCACAGCCACATGCTGCAGCAGACAGGAAGATGCGTGTTAGAAGGGTGTGGAGGTGGCTCCTCGTCCCACCTGGCTCCTGCCTGTTCAGCCTCCTGGGCACTGACCTGGTGGCCCCTGTGCTTAGGGATCAGGCTGAGGGACAGACACGAGCGCCAGCTCCTGGCCTTTTCTCCAGAAAGCTTGCGAAGGGACAGTGATTCAGGGTGAGGACAGGACTATCTGAAGGCCAGCCTGGCTTCCACCTTCGCCATAACGCCGCAAGGCCTCTTTGCCCACTGCCACGAGGCCCTGACCCCAAGTGATTTCTAGAGCAGGCCACAGAGGGCAGCTAATCCCTGAGTGCCTGCAACACGCCAGCTGTGTCCCCAGGCTGGAGATCTGGGAGCATGAGTGGCCCTGTGGCTGGCCCTAACCCCTCCCCACTCCTTTGGGTCCGGGTCCACATGGCACAGTGACAAGGCCAGGCCTTCTGCCTCCTTCCAGCAGCAGCAGAAAGCAGCAGCTGCAGAGTCTCGCGGTGGAAACTGGCAGGTGGGAGTGACGCGCCACTCTTGGACAAGTCTGCTGGTCACCACAGCTCAGAGCACCCGAGGGAGCGGCTGGGGACATGTGTGTGTCTCTGCCACACAGCCCCTCCAGCCCAGCATACTCAGGAGCCTTGCAGGATTTCTGAGGGAATGGGCTGCAGTGCGCCCTGGCTGCCCTGCTGAGGTCACATAGGAGGCCGCTGCCTGTCCCCAGCCTGGCCATCTGGGCCCACAGGGCTCACGCAGCCCAGAGACTCCCCAGAGCTCAGTTTTGAAAAATCACACAGCCTTAAGGTTTAGAGTGACAACTAGCCATTTCCATGACAACACTGCCATCTCTGGTGTGCTGTGACACAGGCTTCTCTGAGAAGAACCCTGAGGTCACCTTTCGCACACATCAGTGGTGTGTCAGTGCCAGGTGAGCCCACTGACAAAACCTGCGACCCAGCTCGTGGGGGCAAGCCAGCGTGGCAGCTGGAGTCCTGGCTCCAGAGGTCAGCTGCTCCCTTCTGCAGGGAGCTGTCATCACGCTGGTGACAAGCTGAGACCGAAGAGTCATCCACTGGGCCCTGTCGACCCAGCGAGAGCCCTCGCGGGGAGGTGGGCTGTGGGGCAGGGCCACAGACCGGAGCCTGGCCGGCTGCAACTGTCTCGCGGCAGGGGCTCTGACTGACCCTGGCAGGAGGGCCACGTGCAGTGGCCCCTGACACCCCACAGCAGTGTGGAGGTGACCTCGATGCCATCTAGCCGTGCCCCCCGCCGTGAGCCCCTCTGGCCTTCCCAGCCACGTTCATGACCTGGCTGCCCCGAGGATACCAAGGTCACTTTGAGGCAGCCCAGATCTCTGCCTCCAAAAATAAAAGCCCATATTCACTGTAATTCTAGAAATCCTTATCTAGGTACCACACGCCATCATATCCCATTTCGCAATACAGCAAATCCAGAGAGAGGTCAGGGTGGGCAGAGAGCAGCCGCTCAGGGCTCACACTGTGGTCATCACCAGAAGTGGCCAGGAGGGGCAGTCCTGGAATCTCCCTCCGGCACCTACTCTGAGGAATGTGAAACCCGACCCTGCCCCTTGACCCAGAGATCCCCACAGAGGTTCTGGTCCCCGGTGTTCCCTGCGGCTCCACCTCGTCAGGTGCAGCTGCGGAGTCGGGAAGCCGGGGTTCCCACCCTCTCCCTTGACCCTTCCGTTCTGTTGACCCTGGGGTACTTCCGTAACCTCCCCGAATCCAACTCCTCCTCTGCAGAGTTGAAAGTCCCAGTTCTGCATGACTACCAGGCAAAATCAATGCCCAGATGTCAAAGCCGAGCAGCCAAGGGCGGGACTCAGCTCAGCAGTACAGTGTGGGCCTGGCAACTCGAGGCCCTGAGTTCAATTCCTGGCACTGAAAAGGGGGGGGGGGAGGGCCTAAGCAGTGGTGTCTGGCTGAAATGACCCCAGCGGCCCTGAGTGGGGAGCGGCTCATTCTCTGGGGACCAGAAACTGAGGGCATTTGGGCCAATATTGATGCTGAGGGATTGATATGTCGAAGACAAATAAGGTGTGGTGCCACAGACCTGTAATCCCAGCACTCTGGGAGGCTGAGGCAGGAGGACTGACAGTGCAGGCCCGGCCTGGGTAGTTTAGCAAGACCTTGTCTCAAAATTTAAAAAAAATTTAAAGGAGTGGTGAAGGGGCGTAGTGGGAAGGCCCTGGGTTCCACCCCTCCTATGGGAAGGCAGGAAAGAAGGAAGGAAGGAAGGAAGGAAGGAAGGAAGGAAGGAAGGAAGGAAGGGGGAGGGACACAAAACGGCGTGTGTAGCGTGGCTTCTGGCACCAGGAACGCCATCCACAGTGCTGCGGAGAGATCTGCTCCACGAGCCGGGGAAGGAACCGAGCGCAGCCGCTGCTACCCAGGAGCTCTCCCCAGGCGACAACGGTCACAACTCCACCCTCTGCCCACTGCCCCTGCATGCCCACCTGTGCCCACCTGTCAGAGCCCTATGGGACTCAGGCAGTCCCCGAGGTTTTCTATAAACACCTGCCATGCCCCCCAGGACCCCCAAGGTGGTGCTCTGGGGGCACTGTTTACAGTCCCAGATGGATGTGTCCCGGGGTGACCCTGCTGTTACCAAGCTGCACAGCTCCTGGCTCTCCCCAGACACAGGCCCTGCCCCCCCCAGCTGCTTCGCTCCTTCCCAAGCCCTGCACCAAGTCCTGCTGCTCATGGGTCAGGAAGCCCCTGCTCTCTGGAGGTCGCGTGTGTGGCTTCGGCGCCCCCCACCACGGCAGCGCTCCCCGGCCTGACGGGAAGCCTGGCCAAGCACTGCAGAACAGCACAGCCGGGAGGGAACACGAAGCCTGGCCTGGGACAGCAGTGACAAGCTGTCCGTGGGATGGGGACAGCTTTCATGTTTTAAGGGGCCCTTCTGAATGCTGCATGTGGGTGAACAAAAGGTGCCGGTGAATATTTAATTTTTTAAAATGATGACAGAAAAAGGCACAGGGCCATGATTCCCCTCAGATCCTTGCTCTCGATTTGAACACAATCATCCCAGCATTCCTGTCGCTTTCTGCAGCAGCCCGGGGGTCCTTTTTCGTGGGTGTCTGAGTGGTGCCACTGCCTCAGTGTCCTGAATGGATCCACATGTCCTTGGACCCTCGGCAAGAGCCAGAGGTCGCACGGTGCCAGCCCTGGCGGGGAGGGTGGATGAGGACGCAGCGTGGGGCCTTACGAGCTGCCTTTCTGTGCAGCACGGTGGGCAGCAGCACTCGCTGGGATTTCTTGTCACTCCTGGTAAAGACCCGCAGGAAGGAGGACTCCAGAGCTGCCACAGAAAGTGGTGAGAACCATGGAGCGAGTACGCTCAGGGAGGGGCAGGTGAGCCCTGCCACCTAGAATGTAAACGCTGCATACGGTGATCGCCCCTCAGTGGCGGCTGCGTACCTTGCTTCTGTCTGTCCCAGTTCACAGAGTGAAGCTCAGCCAGCTGGCCAGCAACGGCCACCCAGAAGCAGGCATCCGCTCGTCCCTGGCAGGCCACCCTCATCTCCAGCCTGACCCTGCACCTGCTGTGGATGCGCCTCCCTCCTCCATGCCCTGAGCCCCCCCCCAGGGCCTCCCCTGCACTCTCACTGAATGTCACAACCAAGGTGCCCGCCAGCTCCAGCGCCACCGCCCTGCTCTCTCCACGCCCTCGCTCACTCTGCTCCAGTCACACAGGCCTGCTGCTGCTCCTGAAGCCTGCCCGGCCTCAGGCCTGTGCACTGGCCAGGCCCCTGGGTGGAACGCCACCTGGGCTTCAGAGGTCACCCCCTCCACGGCACCTACAACGCGCCCCACGCACTCCCCACCCTGCCTTATCCAGTGCTCCCCACCTGCCTCTCCCCTCTGTGGCCCTCTGCCCTTCTAGCAATATGGGAAGGCTGTGGGAATCTGCAGAGGACAGGGCACTGCGCTTGGACCATCTCCTCTCGGTCCCTTTCTAGGCTGCGCACGAGCCCACAGAGCAGGACGCTGCAGCTGCAGCAGCCAGCACAGGCACAGGAGGCCACATGCTGTGCTCTCACCTGGCCAGCTGTGCTAGGCAGGAAGGGCTACCGGTCGCTCCCGCCACCTGCCTCATGGGGTCACACCAGGTGAGGCTGGCTCTGGGTCTCAGGTCCTGTGTTTTGTCCTATACAATGTCATTGTGACCAGCCTCTGTCTTCCAAACTGAGCTTTGTGGAGAGCCACCTACAGCAGCCCTTCCAGAGCGGGGTGCATCAGAGCTAGGCATCTTCACAGAGAGCTGGAAAAACTGGTAGAAAGCTTTGGGGAGATGCCTAAGGAAGGCAGCGGGCAAGGCTCCAGGACTAGTCTCCCTTCTGGAGCCGGGACAGTGCGCATGCTCACAGGGCGATGCGGGGGACCAGCCCTCCTCCACAGCTGCACCCGACCCTCCAGGACTGTGTGCTTTGCAAGCCGTCCACGCCTTTCCCCTTTGAAACAGGCCCAGGTCATGTCCTGGCGGCCCTGTCGCTGGCCGCAGGGCTCTGATTGCTTTGGGAAGGGCAGTGGGGTGCTGGTAGGCCCTGGGGCTGAGGTGCCTGTGGGTGCCCTGCGGTGCCCCTGACTTTCACAGATGGGGTTGGTTTAGCCTGCACCTGAGGGAGCGGGGCTCCTGCCTTGGGATCCCAGCATTAGTCAAGAGAGTCGGCGGGCTGGGGGTCGCCTGTAAGCCACCCGCCCCTAAATCACCAGCCCCTAAATTACCCGCCTGCACTAGCCCTGTGTGCACCCCATGCACTCTTGCCTCTAGGCAGGAACACTAGGACACTTCTGGGATTTCCTTCCACAGCAGAAGTGTCTAGGCCAGTGCTCTGAGCTTTCTATTCACACGGTCTCAGCGAGAGGCGATGGGTGGAGGCTCCTGCCGTCGGGGACTCTTGAGGATGGGGCAGGGCTCTAGTGGGGGCGGGGCTCCTGTGGGTGAGCTCCCATGGACAGGGCTGGGCTCCTGTGGCTTCTGAGCCGCTGGAGTCCCCACCTCCACCTGCTGCCCTTGCCCTCCTCTCCCCCTCCAGAGAGGCCCTCAAACTAGGTTTGGAGGCACAGAGTGGTCTGGGATTGAGCCCCAGCATCTCCAGACCACGGGAGGTGTCCCCACTGAAGTGGATAGTGGCAGTCCTTCACAGGTCTGCTGGAGGAGAGAACCCAGAAGGGTCCAGCTACTTTCAAGTCACAGCCAAACGCCACCTCTCTGTGCACCCCACTCGCCTCCCCAGGCAGAGGCTCCTGCTATAAAAGGCTGTACATGTCTTCTGCATCCCCTGCCACACTTAGGCTTAAGGCTGCGGCGGTCAGAGCTAAAGCTTCGGGTCTCTGCCTCCTGGGGTGCCGAACGGAGCGCAGGCCCGTCAGGCAGCAGAGTCTGCCGAAAGCCCCCAGTTCCCGTAGTACTACAAGGACATAGACATGTGAAAGTAAACATACGTGCTTATGGTCCTCAAGTACTATTAAAAAGAAAGATAGAGTGGCAACCAAATATGTTCTATGTGCTAATCATTATCAGACCCATCGTATCATGCTGGGACATCCTTCCAACGACTCCACGGTGGTGATCGTGGGCTGCTGGCTTCCGGCCAGTCTAACAGAGCCATGGTATCATTCACTTAATTCTTTCTTGATAGAGACATTAACTAAAACATTTATCATTTGGACCAAGAGGATGCCTGGATCAATTATAGCAGGGATAACTTCTTGGCGCCTTTGATAGCCAGCGCGGCTGTTGGCTCTACGGTGTTAGCTCATTCAGGATTAACCGCTCACTTTGCAGACAACTGGACAAGAAGTTCTGGTGACAGCAGGAAATTCAGTGAAATATTGATGTAAAGTTAAAAACCCCAGCGAGCACTCTAGAAACCTCCATCCTTTGGATGGGAGATGAATGTAAAAGTTTACAACTACAGCAAGGTTTAAAATGTCACTATAGTATGACTCGCTTTTGTATCACCCATGAGCATATGACAAAAATCTATTTCCATGGGAAGTGACAAAAGAGCATGTACAAGAAGCAGTCCAAAATATCACCGTGGACGTAGATAATCTTCAGGAAATGTTGCTGTTGGGACTGGGCGTGGCTGTAATCTCAGCGCTTGGGAGGCTGAGAAGAGGGGGATCCCTACAAGTCGGATCTGTGTAGTGAGACCCCATAGAATTTGAACTAAATACACTTAAAAAATAATAAAAATAAAAAATAAAAAAACACATTTACACATCTCAAGGCTCACGTTTGTTTGTTTGTTTGTTTGCACTACCGGGAATTGAACTCAGGACCTTGCTCTTGTCAGGCAAGAGATTATTCTGCTGAGCTATCTCCCTGGCCTCACTTTTGGTTTTATGTTGGAGCTGGTGTACTCCTTCTCTTGCAGTCATTCTTATTAGAGTACGTCATGGAAGATTCTCAACCCGGCAATTAGAGGCCGTACAGAAGCCATGACTGACTCTGCTGCAACTTCTTCAAAGCAAAGAGGGGGACAGTGGAGGAGGACCCGGGTGACTTTCGGTGACTCTGAAAGAACAGTCACCAGAGCTCCATTTTGGCTGTGCCTGACCCTATTTCCTTGTGTTGATACGTACAGAGCTGGCTAGGACTTTTCCTTAGCCCTTCAGTTGGCTTTAAGTAACATATATTGGTGTAGCCAAGGTGCTCGCGGTAGCCTTTGCAGGCCGTGTGCGTGTTTTCCTGATACCCCCCCCCCCCCCGCTGCTCTTTAATATGAGACGGCAGAAGAGCCAGTGCCATCAGCTGGGGTCGAGCCTGGAGACAGAGGCTGTGACTTCCTGGGGCTCGAAAGATTACACAGCAGAGCTGAAGCACCAGACCCCAAAACGTCAGAGGCTCTCTCAGCTGTGTAATGCAGACCACTCTCTGCACATCCTGCTCTGCGCATTGCAGGGGCGAATGCAGGCCTCCTACCTAGCCCAGCTCACAGCGCTCACCTACCTCCTGCCACTCGCAGTCACCCACCATCAAGCCACTCCTCCTTCATGACTGAATAAAACCCAGGCTCTGCCCTGGGTCGAGGCCTCTGTTCTGGATAGCCATCGCCATGGCTGGACTTAGAGCCCCTTGGCTCCCCATAGCTAGAAATATGCCTTGGTGTCTTCATTCTTAGCATGGATTGCGCTGCAAGTGGTAGGTTGGAATTAACTTGATGGGACTCCAATAACTTATCCACGGGATCAGACATATGAACTTCCCAAGCCTAGACAAGGCCAGGAAGGGCTCCCTGCACCTACCTGCTACGCACTTCCCTGATATTTTCTCACAAAAGAGCAAAGCTTGCTACACCTTTGCTTTACCGTGGTGAAGGCGGTGAAACTCTCCTGGTGCCAGCAGGACATCGCAGCCACCTGGGGACAGTGTGCTGTGACATCTGCCCATCGCCCCTGCCCCCAGCGCAAGGCTTTCCGTATGGCCAGAAGATTAAACATGGGTGCATTCAGTCCCTCTTGGCCACAGAGCAGAGCGGAGCTAGGACGGTGGCTGGAGGCGGGGACATCACACGTTTCTTGTTTAAATTTTCCCTGTCCTTTTCAATCTAACACATTAAATGCTGTTTAACAGAAGAAAAAGTGATTTTCATTGGAAATGGGTGGTGATGGTCTTTGTGTCATCCTGTGGGGCTGGTGTCTGGCCCAGCCAGGGCCACAGGTCCAGGTGGCTGACAGTGACTCCTGACCAACAGGACCACTCCTCCACTTCTCCACCTTGCAGCCTCCTTTCCCACCGGTGACACAGACGCTGCTGGCGAGCTCCCGCCGTGGTGCAAAGCTGCCGGCTCAAAGCTTTCCAGCAGTGCAACCCTCTCCAGAGCTCTGGGGCGGGGGCGCGGGGCGCAGAGGGCTGGGTGTGCGGCTGCGCCCGCTGGGTCAGGCTCACTCACCTTTGCAGATGAAGCACTTGATGTGGAAGTACTTGTTCTGCACCCGCAGCACCTCCCCCTTGCACACATTTCCACACGTGTTGCACAGGATGGCCGTGCCAGGTGGCTTCTCCAGGGGACTGTGAGCCGCCTGGGGTTGCGACACTGTGGAGAGAAGGCATGTTAGAGGCTGGGGTGTCCTGGGAACAGTGAGCCAGCCAGTGAGGGCGCCTGGGCATGGGGGCCTGACCAGGGAGCCCCGGCTTCCTACTGGCCCAGGTCCCCCAGGCACCAGGGGATGCACTTGACTCTTCTGTCTGGGGACAGGGCACAGGTGATGGTCCTAGGGCTAAGATTACTTGGTCAACTGCAAAGTAGGGTTCCCAGCCGTAGCAGCCCCCACAGTGAGCAGTCCTGTCCCCTATCATTGCACCACCTGCAGTGACAAGGCCTTCATGACCTCCTGCAAAGGGGATCAATGTCCTGCTGCTTCCACTTGGCAGAGCCATGACCCCTAGGGTCTCAGATGCAACCCCTCCCCCAACCTTCCCCCCCCCCCGCAAGCTCGGCCGCTCTTCAGAAGCCGAGGACCCCCCACGTTGTCTCTCTGAGTACAGCAGCCACGGTCCTCCTGGGGGCTGGCTTCACGTCCTCTGGTCCTGGGACATTAATCAGAACAGCACTGCTGTTCTCTAAATTGGACACAGTGCATATGTTTAAGCAGGTACCAAATACCACAGGTGAACCAGACAGGGTGGATGGCCACAGAGCCTGGCCACCGGACCCCCAGGACTGGGCAGGACCTGCACCCCCATCACACCTCTCCAAAACACCGCAGAGGCCAGTGGCCAGGATGCAGGGCCCTCACCAGCCCTGTGGTGGGGACATCAAGGTGAGCCCAGTGACAGGCAGGTCACAGAGCTGGAGTCCGGGAAGCTCTGAGCTTTGAATCAGGAGGGCCCAGTGCAGGGGCTCCTGCTGCAGCTGGACCCACAGCTGGTGCAGCCGTGCGCTCTGCCTCGCTCCGAGGCGGGCTCAGCAAACACAGACTCACACATGTTCATGTGACCACTACAGCATCCTGGAGCTCCAGGCTGGGCTACCCTCATCCCGCTGTGGCAACCGGAGTCCTTGCCCCAGACCAAGGAGCCTGCTGCCCCACTCCATCACACCCAGTGTTGGCCCTGGGAGTGGATGTCACCCTGGAGAGGTGGGCACCGTGTCATGGGAAGGTGCTCAGCTCAGCTCACCCTGGACACTCAAGGCCGGGTCCCCCCGGACTCCATTTCCAGAGCTCAGGAAACAACACGGCACTCTGGGAGGCCCAGAGTCCAGCCAGGTGCCTCTGAGCTGCTGTCCCAGGAAGAATGCAAACATGTCCCTCCGAGTGTGGGCAGAGCGTCTCAGAGCCTGGCACGCCCCGCCCAGAGCAGCAGAGACACATGCACCTGCCCGGTAGAACGTGCAGGGGCAGGCCCACGTGCCAGGGCAGAGCAGGCCCTGGGGGCTGGGAGCCAGGATGGCTCTGTGAGCACGACGTCCTGGTGAGTCACCCGTCCCATCTGAGCCCAAGCGGAGATGGCAGGGTGGGGAGGGGCTGTCAACACTGTCCTGTTCTCCTCTACAGGGACACAAAGAACAATGTGTTGCATCCCTCCCGATCACACAGGCACGTTTTTCATCTGACTGTAGCCTAGCTGTGCCTCAGGATGAGCAAAACCGCAGCTTCAGACTCTTGGGGACAGTGCAGGGTAGGGGTCAGGCTGAACCAGGACACAGCCTCGCCCCGTTTCCTACACGTTGTGACCTCCAGGACCCCAGATCTGTCTGTCCTTCTCTGTGCCACCCATCCCCTCACTTGTGTTCCGCTCACACCATCCGGCCCCCAGCCCCCAGAACCAAAGCGAAACGCCCACCTAGCAACCAGTAAGCAGCTACCGGCCTGGCTGGTGGTGCTGCCCCCTGCCGGCAGAAAATGGACACCGCAACCTGAGGGGCTCCTCCGAGCAGGTGCAAGGCCCATGCAGGTGGCCCAGGCTGGAAGGGAACAGGAGCTGGGAGCTGGCAAGGGCCTGGGTCCCAGGGACACAGGGGCTGGGTGTGGCCTCCCTAAAGCACGCTCTGGGGCTAAGGCCAGGGCCAGACGGGAACTGGAACAAGCTGGTCTTGAAGGTCAGAGACAGCCTGGCGGCCAGCACAGACAACTGTGCTGAGGACAGCCTTTCAGCGGCCGCCAGGGCACGGGCGCCCCTCGGGCTGGCCACTGCCTCCTGTCCCCCACCCGGAAGCTGGGCCAGGATGGGTACGGCCGCTGCCCCTGGGCCCAGCCCAGGCTCTGTGCCCAGCAGGGAGAGCATGTGGAAGCATCGCCACTTCCTCTTCTTCTCCACTGCTGCTGGATGCTGCTGGATTCTCAGGGGCTTGGCCATCCTGATGTCCCCTCGAGACAGGGGTGGGTACAGCTGACAATGCAGAGTCCACGAGAGGCGTGTGCTCTCGAGCCATGCAGTGGCCCGCACAGGTTGAACCAATGCAGGACACCCAGGTGCTCGGTTTCAAATGTCCTTGGTGATTCTGACCACAGCCAGATGGCACGGCAGAAGCTGCCGCCCCCGACAGCCTGCATCAGCTGGCCAGAGTCCCCAGGGGCCGTGTCCCTCATCATGGTAGGAACCAGTCCTGGGCATCCTGTCACAAAGGAGCTAAGCACTGGCAGGGGACAGAGGGCTGGGATATCCTGGGAAACAGGGAAAAGCACACCCCAATTAGAGTCCGGCTCCTGGAGCAAAGGCTGCTCCCAGAAGTCTCTGACAGTGAGATGGTGGCTAACGGGACCACATGAGGGAACAGCTAGCGCCGGCACCTGAGGCTCGCTGGTGAGTCTGCCTTGACTTGACAGCAGGTCCCCTGCCTGCTGCAGCTCTGCACAAAGCCCTGGGCAAGGTGAGCCTCCCATGTCCCTCTCCTGGGGGCTCCAGGCTGGGCTCCAGCTCTTGTTCCCTGCCTGGTGCCTGGTGCCCCTGAGCCTATTTGTCACTCCAGTCCCTGGAGCCCCTGGGCCTCTGCACCTGCTGTCTTCACCATTCCCACCCTTCCCAGTGCCTCTGCCTCTGGTCAGACCTCCAGGATTCCCCCAGGGTAAGAGGGCCTCCTCCACCTCCTCTGATGGCACACAGCAAGCACCTGGGCCCGAGGCGTGAGTCGCCCAACAGTCACTGCCAGCTGGCTGTCACTTGTATCAGACAGGGAAGGCCTTGAGGGAGGGTCTGGCAGGACTCTGTCGCCAGCACCTGGTGCAAAGCCTTCCAGGGCTGGACTTCACATGACAAAGATGACTCTCGAGATGTCCTGCAGCTGGTGACAGATAGCGAATGTCACACACTCAGACGCCAGTACTACTCAGCACCCGAAGTGCACTCTCAAGCCGAGAGGAACCCCAGGGGTGGGAGATCCAGGGGGGTCCTGTGATTGACAGTGCCTCTGTGGGAAGGGTGAGCACGGGGACCCAGGCGACGGTGGCCGGGTGGGGAGGGAGGGTGGGCAGGCGGGGCTCGGAGGACATCAGGCAGGGGCGCTGCGTGCGTGGCCCCATGACGGGGCACGTGTAACTGTCCATCGTCACTCTCAGGACCCGCGATGCTGAGTGGGCACGGCGCACGGCGGCCTCAGGCAACAGTAAGGCATCAGGCTTGACTCCTGGGACTAGCGTGCATCCCGCTGAACGCACGCTGAGGCTGGCAGTGGGGAGCAGCTGGGGGGAATTCACTGAACTCCCTGTAAACCACAATCTCTAATAAATAAAAACCCATTTTAAAATTTTGAAAAGAGGCCACCACACCCCAGACGTAACCACAGACGCGGCAGATCCGTGCCACTGTAATTTTGTGGCAGCTCTAAGAGTCACTTAACGAGCCTCTTGCTGAGATAATGACAAGAACGAAAACTTGAGCAGTAGGAACTGACCCCACAGTGCTGGGACCACTTCAGCCCCGAGACAATGAGGGCCCAGCCTGGGAGGCTCCAGGGAATGAAACCGCTCAGCACATACCTTCGTCTGCAGGTGGAGGCAGGAGGACCAGAAGCCAGCACAGCCCTGCCTCGCTAGCCCCCCAGCAGAGATGTCAGCACCCCACCCGCCGAGGCAGACAGCCCGAGGGACCCCCAGACTTTGCAGCCTGCAGCAGGGTACACAGAGGCCTCCGTGAAGGCCTGGGAGTGAAGACGTTCTAGGCCGCGCAGGCCCGCGGCTGTCCCAAGGGCTCCTCTGCTGCTGTCTCCTGAGTCATCAGCAGCGGGCATGGCTGTGCTCCTACAGAACTTTTTGTCCGCCAGCCCTCATGTGTGGACATGGTCCCCAGTTCCTCGCAGGCCACCCTTTGCTGGAAACCTGGTTTCATCAGGCCATGTTCTGGTTGGGTCCTTCCCCTTGTGGGTGGCAGTTGGGTACTAGGAGAGACGGGGACAGAGGGACAGCTCTGTGACTGGGGACAGGGCAGGTGAGGGGCTGCAGGGGCCACCAGTCAATCTGCAGGATCAGGCCATGGGAGAGACAGAAGTTAGCTGTGCTGGAGGGCAAGGACGGTCAGATGGAGACTCCTGGTACCCTTAACACTGGGGCGCAGACCCATACCTCACCCAGGACGCCCCATCTGGAAACCGAGCTGGGTCCTCCTGGCTTCAGCCCAGGACTCAAGGTAGTAGAAGCCCAGACTCCACAGTTAACAGCAATGACGAGGCCAGCTCAGCTCCACTCTGCATCCACGCAGGGCGCCTCTGGGCGCCTGGTCTGCACCCTGGTTGTTCATAACACCACGTTCCCTTCCCGCGGCCGAGGGCAGCCACAGTGGCCCCACCTCCACCTGCTGAGCACAGATGCCAGTGGGCAGCAGTGCCCACCTCGTCCATGGGGTCTTCTTCCTGAGGCCACCCCCTGTCAAGCCCAGGTGTCCCCAGCCCTTGCTGTCACCTGACCGGGAGCTATGCTGACGTGATTTGTGATACTTATGTGGCCACCGCCTCCTCTGTTGCACCATCCTGGCCAGAGGGGCTGGGCCTGCTCCTCTCTGCTGTCCCCAGTCACCTGTCCCCACCCAGCAAGGTGCTTTAAGTCGCCAAAACCCCTGCAGGGAGCTGGAGCTTAGTTTTCTAGGTGGGAATTGCAAGGT